TTCTTTGGCCGCTTAAACCCTTCCGGTGGTTTTTCGACTAACACAAAAATAGAAAATTAAATGACAATAGATCAACATAAAAAACATTCGGAATAATAAAATAAGAGGGTATATTGTTCCCTACATCATGATACTTCTTCTTCCTCCTCAGGCTCATTCCTGGTTTGGACGGTTGCAGCCAATGAGTCACCTTCACCTTCCTCAACCTTGTCATGTCTCCTCCTCAGGGAAGATACTGATTCAGTCTGTAATCAAACAGACATTATAACAGTACTATTACATAGTAACCAGTGGATAATGAGAAACCTACTTCGTAAGATTAATCACAAAACAATGGAGGACAGTGACATACATATGTAGCATGTTAATTTGATCAGCCTGTTGCAAGAGAACTTCCCTGCAATGCAGGACATTTAAAACACGTAGTGTATTTGAGGTTAAAAAAGGCTTCTGAAGTTTGTAATTTCCACTTCAGATTAGATTTTCCCTTACAAAAAATGTATCAACCCCTACAAAAATGTCCATGAATTATAATCCACATTTGCTGTTGCTGCAGGATTATATTCCTGCTGTAGCAAACATGATCAAATTAAGATCCTACATCTTTAACTAATCACAGCATACCTGTTCAGGTACTTTGGCCATGATTGAACTCCTGGGATGTAGTCCAGGAAAAGAAAATAGATTAAATTGAGCAAAATCAATATATGATCATCTAATGCAAATGCATTTTGTTTCACAATGCAAAATTCAGTTCATGATATTACAGTAGGTGATATTACCAAGGAAATTGCCCGTATTTCCACCAGTACCATACGAGTGCAGCCGCAGTAACAATCAGACATAGAATGACAATGAGTAGAACCCAACAGGCAGCAGAGGTCTCTATGAGGAGAGAGGGGATACAGTTAATATAGGAAACAGTCTGTATTTACAATTACATATAATTGTGTTGACCTAACAAGCATCATGGCTCTGATTCAAACACTTTCCTGCAGAAAGCAAAGAGATAATACTAAGTAATAAGACATGTACATACAGTGCCTTGCAAAAGTATTCATCCCCCTTGGCGGTTTTCCTATTTTGTTGCATTACAACCTGTAATTTAAATGGATTTTTATTTGGATTTCATGTAATGGACATATACAAAATTGTCCAAATTGGTGAAGCGGAATGAAAAAAATAAATTGTTTCAAAAAATTCAAAAAATTAAATAACGGAAAAGTGGTGCTTGAACATGTATTCACCCCCTTTGCTATGAAGCCCCTAAATAAGATCTGGTGCAACCAATTACCTTCAGAAGTCACATAATTAGTTAACTAAAGTCCACCTGTGTGCAATCTCAGTGTCACATGATCTGTAAGATGATCTAAGTATATATACACCTGTTCTGAAAGGCCCTAGAGTCTGCAACACCACTAAGCAAGGGGCACCACCAACCAAGCGGCACCATGAAGACGAAGGAGCTCTATTAAATAAAAATGCTCAATTTTTGTCTCATCTGACCAGAGTACCTTCTTCCATATGTTTGGGGAGTCTCCGACATGCCTTTTGGCGAACATCCCAAGGAGCACCATTAAATACATTATTAAAAATAGAAGAAATATGGCACCACAACAAACCTGCCAAGAGAGGGCCGCCCACCAAAACTCACGGACCAGGCAAGGAGGGAATTAATCAGAGGGGCAACAAAGAGACCAAAGATAACCCTGAAGGAGCTGCAAAGCTCCACAGCGGAGATTGGAGTATCTGTTTATAGGACCACTTTAAGCAGTAAACTCCACAGAGCTGGGCTTTACGGAAGAGTGGCCAGACAAAAGCCATTGCTTCAAGAAAAATAAAAAAAAGTGGGATGTTCGCCAAAAAGGCATGTCGGAGACTCCCCAAACATATGGAAGAAGGTACTCTGGTCAGATGAGACAAAAATTGAGCATTTTGGCAATCAAGGAAAATGCTATGTCTGGCGCAAACCCAACACCTCTCATTCACCCCGAGAACACCATACACACAGTGAAGCATGGTGGTGGTAGCATCATGCTGTGGGGATGTTTTTCATCAGCAGGGACTGGGAAACTGGTCAGAATGGAAGGAGTGATGGATGGCGCTAAATACAGGGAAATTCTTGAGGGAAACCTGTTTCAGTCTTCCAGAGATATGAGACTGGGACTGAGGTTCACCTTCCAGCAGGACAATGACCCTAAGCATACTGCTAAAGCAACACTCGAGCGGTTTAAGGGGATACATTTAAAAGTCTTGGAATGGCATAGTCAAAGCCCAGACCTCAATCCAATTGAGAATCTGTGGTATGACTTAAAGATTGCTGTACACCAGCGGAACCCATCCAACTTGAAGGAGCTGGAGCAGTTTTGCCTTGAAGAATGGACAAAAATCCCAGTGGCTAGATGTGCCAAGCTTATAGAGACATACCCCAAGAGACTTGCAGCTGTAATTGCTGCAAAAGATGGCTCTACAAAGTATTGACTTTGAGGGGGTGAATAGTTATGCATGCTCAAGTTCTGTTTTTTTGTCTTATTTCTTGTTTGTTTCACAATAAAACATATTTTGCATCTTCAAAGTGGTAGGCATGTTGTGTAAATCAAATGATACAAACCCCCCAAAAATCCATTTTAATTCCAGGTTGTAAGGCAACAAAATAGGAAAAATGCCAAGGGGGGTGAATACTTTCGCAAGCCACTGAATGCAGTAAGAGATACGTTTTTATCATGACCATCTAAGTTAGTGGTTATACAGTACCTTCCTGTAGAAAGGGGAATGAGGACATAAGTCTGAAACTAACACATGCAGTGAAAGATAAGTGAGCATCTGCCTCAACTTTGTTATCCATGCTACAACACATTTCTCATAACCTCATATTTGTGTTTTATGTGTATGCCAGGAATGCCTGTATTGTTTCCAGACACATTTCCCTACGGGACAATAAAGTATTCAATCAATCAATCAATCACATAACAATTATAAGCAACTTATGAAAACCAGTTAAGCAACCAGTTATGATCAACCAGTTAAGCAACCAGCATGAATAGTGTGTGTGTGTGTGTGTCTGTGCTTCTCACCAGAGGATGTGTGTACAAAGAGGGAGCCAGTTGCTCGTCCGTAGGGGTTGGAGGCCTCACAGACATAGAGACCATTCAGCTCAGAGCTGAGACTGAGGAGGTGCAGTATGTCTCCCTCTGCTCTCACTGAAGACACAGGCCATGGCTGGCCCACTCTGGGGGAGAGAGAGCGAAGGGCTGAGTGTTTGTGTGTATGTGTGCGTGTGTGTGTGTGTGTGTGTGTGTGTGTGTGCGTGCGTGCGTGCGTGTGTGGCAAAGGCATGATTTGACTACCAGCGTAATATATGAACATACTGAAGCTTCAAGCTAATATACAGTGAGCTCCATAATTCATTGGACAGTGACCATTTTTTTGTTATTTTGGTTCTGTACTCTAGCACTTTGAGTTTGAAAGGATACAATGACAATGAGGGTGAAGTGCAGACTGTCAGCTTTAATTTGAGGGTATTTTCATATATATCGGATGAACTGTTTAGAAATGATAGCACCTTTTATACATGGTCCCCCCATTTTAAGGTCCTACAAGTATTTGTTAAATTGGCTTCACAGATGTGTGTCGTTAGGCAGGTGTATTCATTTGTGTCGTTAGTGAATGCAGGAGAGCTGTTGATGAATAGCATTGATTCTAGACTTTGCTATTGCCTTTGGAGGTTGTTGTTGTGGTGTGACAACATGAGGAAGACAGCAGTGTCGATGCAAATGAAGCTGGCCGTCATAAGGCTCAGAAATGAAAATCAATCAATCAGGAACATTGAAAAAACCCTGGCCATGCCCAAGTCAACAGTTTGGTTCATCATTAACAAGAAAAAAACAACCGGTGAACTCAATTATGTCAAAAGACCCGGTAGACCGAGGAAGACCACTGTAGTGGATGACCGGAGAATACTCTCTATGGTGAAGAAAACCCCCCTGACAACAGCCCAACAGATCAAAAACACTCTCCTGGATGCAGGTGTAGATGTGTCAAAGTCTACCATACGTAGAAGACTACACCAGCAGGACTAAAGAGGGTACACTACAAGATGCAAACCACTGATAAGCCTGAAGAACAGAAAGGCGAGATTACAGTTTGCTAAAAAGCACCTAAGAGAGCCCCAAGAGTTCTGGAAAAAAGTATTGTGGACAGATGAGACAAAGATTAACATGTACCAGAGTGATGGAAAGAGGAAAGTGTGGAGAAAAAAAAGAAATGCCCATGATCCAAAGCATACCACCTCATCCGTGAAACATGGTGGAGGGGGTGTTATGGCTTGGGCCTGTATGGCTGCCAGTGGAACAGGCTCACTTGTCTTCATCGATGATGTGACTGCAGACAGAAGTAGAACAATGAATTCTGAAGTCTATAGAAATATTTTATCTGCTCAGATAAAACCAAATGCCTCCAAACTCATTGGACGGCACTTCATCATGCAACAAGACAATGACCCTAAACATACTGCTAGAGCAACAAAGGGGTTTTTGATGGCCAAAAAGTGGAAAATCCTTGACTGGCCGAGTCAATCACCGGATCAGAATCCAATTGAACATGCATTTTACATGCTGAAGAGGAGACTGAAGGCAATAAGTCCCCAAAATAAGCAGGTACTGAAGATGGCTGCAGTACAGGCCTGGCAGAGCATCACCAGGGAAGATACCCAGCGTCTGGTGATGGCGATGCATCGCAGACTTCAAGCAGTCATTGCATGCAAAGGATATGCGACCAAATATTAACAATGATTACTTTATTCTACATTATGTTAAACTGTCCAATGTTTTTTGATGCCCAAAAAAGGGGGGGACCATGTACAAAAGCTTCTATAATTTCTAAACGGTTCATCCGATATGTATGAATATACCCTCAAATTAAAGCTGACAGTCTGCACTTAACCATTATTGTCATTGTATCCTTTCAAACTCAAAGTGCTAGAGTACAGAACCAAAATAACAAAAAAATTGTCACTGTCCAATGAATTATGGAGCTCACTGTATGTCTTAAATGTTTAAACAAGTGTACCTAACATTTGCATTTTACATTTACATTTACGTCATTTAGCAGACGCTCTTATCCAGAGCGACTTACAAATTGGTGCATTCACCCTATAGCCAGTGGGATAACCACTTTACAATTATTTTTTTGGGGGGGAGGGGTAGAAGGATTACTTTATCCCAGGTATACCTTAAAGAGGTGGGGTTTCAAATGTCTCCAGAAGGTGGTGAGTGACTCCGCTGTCCTGGCGTCGTGAGGGAGCTTGTTCCACCATTGGGGTGCCAGAGCAGCGAACAGTTTTGACTGGGCTGAGCGGGAACTATGCTTCCGCAGAGGAAGGGGAGCCAGCAGGCCAGAGGTGGATGAACGCAATGCCCTCGTTTGGGTGTAGGGACTGATCAGAGCCTGAAGGTACGGAGGTGCCGTTCCCCTCACAGCTCCATAGGCAAGCACCATGGTCTTGTAACAGATGCGAGCTTCAACTGGAAGCCAGTGGAGTGTGCGGAGGAGCGGGGTGACGTGAGAGAACTTGGGAAGGTTGAACACCAGACGGGCTGCGGCATTCTGGATGAGTTGTTGGGGTTTAATGGCACAGGCAGGGAGCCCAGCCAACAGCGAGTTGCAGTAATCCAGACGGGAGATGACAAGTGCCTGGATTAGGACCTGTGCCGCTTCCTGTGTAAGGCAGGGTCGTACTCTCCGAATGTTGTAGAGCATGAACCTGCAGGATCGGGTCACCGCCTTGATGTTAGCGGAGAACGACAGGGTGTTGTCCAGGGTCACGCCAAGGCTCTTCGCAGTCTGGGAGGAGGACACAACGGAGTTGTCAACCGTGATGGCGAGATCATGGAACGGGCAGTCCTTCCCCGGGAGGAAGAGCAGCTCCGTCTTGCCAGGGTTCAGCTTGAGGTGGTGATCCGTCATCCATACTGATATGTCTGCCAGACATGCAGAGATGCGATTCGCCACCTGGTTATCAGAAGGGGGAAAGGAGAAGATTTGTTGTGTATCGTCAGCGTAGCAATGATAGGAGAGGCCATGTGAGGATATGACAGAGCCAAGTGACTTGGTGTATAGGGAGAATAGGAGAGGGCCTAGAACTGAGCCCTGGGGGACACCAGTGGTGAGAGCACGTGGTGCGGAGACAGCTTCTCGCCACGCCACTTGGTAGGAGCGACCGGTCAGGTAGGACGCAATCCAGGAGTGAGCCGCGCCGGAGATGCCCAGCTCGGAGAGGGTGGAGAGGAGGATCTGGTCTGTAGTTGTTGACATCAGTGGGATCGAGTGTTGGTTTTTTGAGAAGGGGTGCAACTCTCGCTCTCTTGAAGACGGAAGGGACATAGCCAGCGGTCAAGGATGAGTTGATCAGCGAGGTGAGGTAGGGGAGAAGGTCACCGGCGATGGTCTGGAGAAGAGAGGAGGGGATGGGGTCAAGCGGGCAGGTTGTTGGGCGGCCTGCAGTCACAAGTCGCAAGATTTTATCTGGAGAGAGAGGGGAGAAAGAAGTCAAAGCATAGGGTAGGGCAGTGTGAGCAGGACCAGCAGTGTCATTAGACTTAACAAACGAGGATCGGATGTCGTCAACCTTCTTTTCAAAGTGGTTGACGAAGTCATCCACAGAGAGAGGGGGGGGGGGGGATTCAGCAGGGCGGAGAATGTGGCAAAGAGCTTCCTAGGGTTAGAGGCAGATGCTTGGAATTTAGAGTGGTAGAAAGTGCCCTTAGCAGCAGAAACAGATGAAGAAAATGTAGAGAGGAGGGAGTGAAAAGATGCCAGGTCGGCAGGGAGTTTAGTTTTTTTCCATTTCCGCTCAGCTGCCCGGAGCTCTGTTCTGTGAGCTCGCAATGAGTCATCAAGCCACGGAGCTGGAGGGGAGGACCGAGCCGGCCGGGAGGATAGGGGACACAGAGAGTCAAAGGATGCAGAAAGGGAGGAGAGGAGGGTTGAGGAGGCGGAATCAGGAGATTGGAGGGAGAAGGATTGAGCAGAGGGAAGAGATGATAGGATGGAAGAGGAGAGAGTAGTGGGAGAGAGAGAGCGAAGGTTGCGGCGGCGCATTACCATCTGTGTAGGGGCAGAGTGAGTAGTGTTGGAGGAGAGCGAGAGAGAAAAGGATACAAAGTGAGATTAGTAGAAGAGCAGCATCTAGTAAAGATGAGGTCAAGCGTATTGCCTGCCTTGTGAGTAGGGGGGGACGGTGAGAGGGTGAGGTCAAAAGAGGAGAGGAGTGGAAAGAAGGAGGCAGAGAGAAATGAGTCAAATGTAGACGTAGGGAGGTTGAAATCCCCCAAAACTGTGAGAGGTGAGCCATCCTCAGGAAAGGAACTTATCAAGGCGTCAAGCTCATTGATGAACTCTCCAAGGGAACCTGGAGGGCGATAGATGACAAGGATATTAAGCTTAAATGGGCTAGTGACTGTGACAGCATGGAATTCAAATGAGGAGATAGACAGATGGGTTAGGGGAAAAATTGAGAATTTAAACTGGTTTGAAATAGTTTACATAGGAGTGAGTACCTGCTCCAGGTGTAGTTGGGTTGTGGGTTGACGTCTGCTAGACATAGTAAGACTGTGGCTTGAGAGGCCTCACTAAGGGTGATGTTCACTGACTGAGGTGGATCTATGAGAGAGAGAGACAGAAAGGCGGAAGGAGAGAGACAGCGAGAGTGAGTGCGTGAGTGAAAGAGAGACAGTGAGGTGGTTACAGTTACTGCAGATATAGAATATAAATAGACCTACACTCACACACCCGTACCAAGACAGATATAGGACACCAATAACAATGACATTACAGTATCTGAGCATTTACATTTACATTTTAGTCATTTAGCAGACGCTCTTATCCAGAGCGACTTACAGTTAGTGATTACATATATTTTTTTTATACTGGCCCCTCGTGGGAATCGAACCCACCCTATCAACAGAGCTACATCCCTGCCGGCCATTCCCTCCACTACCCTGGACAACGCTGGGCCAATTGTGCGCCGCCCATGAGTCTCCCGGTCGCGGCCGGCTGCGACAGAGCATGGATTCGAACCAGGATCTCTAGTGGCACAGTTAGCACTGCGATGCAGTGCCTTAGACCACTGCGCCACTCAGTGGGCAGGGGTGGAACTTTAATCCACAGATTAGGCAAAACTAAGAATTGTTTGTGAACCTGATCTTGCTTCATTTCAGTTCGATAGATTACTTGCAGTAGAGGATCAGTACAATGAAAGCCTTGTAATTGTCCATACCGTGTATGGTGTAGGACAGCGGTAGTAGTATATATTTACAGTGTCTGTCTATAGTGCAGGACAGTAGTAGTAGAATAGATTTACAGTGTCTGTCTATAGTGTAGGACAGTGGTAGTAGAATATATTTACAGTGTCTGTCTATAGTGTAGGACAGTGGTAGTAGAATATATTTACAGTGTCTGTCTATAGTGTAGGACAGTGGTAGTAGAATATATTTACAGTGTCTGTCTATAGTGTAGGACAGTGGTAGTAGAATAGATTTACAGTGTCTGTCTATAGTGTAGGACAGTGGTAGTAGAATATATTTACAGTGTCTGTCTATAGTGTAGGACAGTGGTAGTAGAATATATTTACAGTGTCTGTCTATAGTGTAGGACAGTGGTAGTAGAATATATTTACAGTGTCTGTCTATAGTGTAGGACAGTAGTAGTATAATATATTTACAGTGTCTGTCTATAGTGTAGGACAGTGGTAGTAGAATATATTTACAGTGTCTGTCTATAGTGTAGGACAGTGGTAGTAGAATATATTTAGTGTCTGTCTATACTGTAGGACAGTGGTAGTAGAATATATTTACAGTGTCTGTCTATAGTGTAGGACAGTAGTAGTAGAATATATTTACAGTGTCTGTCTATAGTGTAGGATAGTGGTAGTAGAATATATTTACAGTGTCTGTCTATAGTGTAGGACAGTGGTAGTAGAATATATTTACAGTGTCTGTCTATAGTGTAGGACAGTGGTAGTAGAATATATTTACAGTGTCTGTCTATAGTGTAGGACAGTGGTAGTAGAATATATTTACAGTGTCTGTCTATAGTGTAGGACAGTAGTAGTAGAATATATTTACAGTGTCTGTCTATAGTGTAGGACAATGGTAGTTTAGTATATATTTAGAGTGTCTGTCTATAGTGTAGGACAGTAGTAGTAGAATATATTTACAGTGTCTGTCTATAGTGTAGGACAGTAGTAGTAGAATATATTTACAGTGTCTGTCTATAGTGTAGGACAGTGGTAGTAGAATATATTTACAGTGTCTGTCTATAGTGTAGGACAGTAGTAGCAGAATATATTTACAGTGTCTGTCTATAGTGTAGGACAATGGTAGTTTAGTATATATTTACAGTGTCTGTCTATAGTGTAGGACAGTAGTAGCAGAATATATTTACAGTGTCTGTCTATAGTGTAGGACAATGGTAGTTTAGTATATATTTACAGTGTCTGTCTATAGTGTAGGACAATGGTAGTAGAAGACACTTACAGTGGATGTTTATGGTGTAGTTGTAGCTACTTTCTGTTGCCAGGGCAGACTGGTTGACGACACACTGGACCTGCTGCTGATTGGCTGCTCTGGTTGGTACCCCAAGCAGGTGGCTGAGTACTGTGGCGGTTCCGTTGGCGTGCTGGGTAAAGTTAGTCACCGTCCTCAACAAACTGCCAAATGCACCTGTCTTCCACTTCACTTCTGCCTGTGGCTTCGCAACAGCAGCCACACAGGTTGCCAAGACAACCTCATTCTCCCCAATGACAGGAGGAACATCAACTGTCACACTCACAACTGGAGGAACTATGACCAGAAAACAAACAAACAAGAGAACAGAAAACATGAACAAGTCACTAATTACAAATATGCAACTATACACGTAAAAACTACCAAAAAACATACAGCCCGTCATGTGAAACTTATCCAAATGCTCATGTCACATGACCAACAAACGTTAAATAAAACCTCTCATGTTCTCTATCTGGCCAACTGTAATATACATAATTAGTAGCTAGACTGTATTGGAGGAAACAGGAGACAAAGGGCTGTGAGACATGGGTTTGATTTTAGACACATGAAAAGTGGGATGTATATGGAGGGTAAGGGGCAACAGAAGACGAACAGCAGAGGGGCTAATGACCTTGGAGATGGGGAAAGGGCCGATAAACCGGGGGGGGGAAAGTTTGCGGGACTCCACCCGGAGGGGCAGATCCCGGGTGGACAGCCATACCATCTGCCCGAGACGATATCGGGGTGCCGGGGACCGGTGGCGGTCCGCTTGTCGTCGATACCTGGAGGTGGTCTTGAGAAGGGCCGACCAGGCTCTCTTCCAGGTACGCCGACAGCGGCGGACAAACATCTTGGCCAAAGGTATGCCTACCTCTTCCTCTTGCTCAGGAAAGAGCGGGGGCTGATAGCCCAGGGAACATTCAAAGGGCGAGAGACCAGCGGCAGAGCAAAGAAGGGTGTTGAGGGAGTATTCAACCCACACTAATTGCTGGCTCCAGGCGGTGGGGTTGGCGGAGGCCAGGCAGCGAAGAGTCGTCTCCATGTCTTGGTTGGCTTGCTCGGACTGGGGGTGGAACCCGAAGGACAGGCTGGCCGACGACCCAATGAGCGTGCAGAAAGCCTTCCAGAACTGTGACGAGAACTGAGGACCCCGGTCGGAGAACATGTCCACCGGGAGTCCATGGATCTGGAAGATGTGCTGCACCATGAGCTGGGACGTCTCTTTGGCAGAGGGTAGCTTCTTCACCGTGATGTCGTTGAGTCCCCGGTAGTCGATGCACGGGTGCAGGGTTTTGGCCTTCTTCTCCACAAAGAACAGCCCTGCGCCGGCGGGGGAGGCAGAAGGACGGATGAACCCTGCAGCTAGGGAGTCCTCAATGTAGTTCTCCACAGCCTTGGTCTCCAGATCCGACAGAGAGTACAGTCGTCCCCGGGAGGAGGGGTGCCTGGGAGAAGGTCAATCCCACAGTCATATGATAAGTGCGGCAGAAGTGAAGTGGCCCGGGCCTTACTGAAATACCTCCCAGAGGTCCTGGTACTCAGTGGGAATGGCGGAGAGGTCCGGGGTAACTTCCGAGCCCAAAGGAAGACGTCCCGGTTTAGGCTGCGCTGACTTCAGACAATGGGAATGGCAGAACGGGCTCCAGCTCATAATGGCACCCGCAGTCCAGTCTATGATGGGATTGTGTCGCTTGAGCCAAGAGAATCTCAATACCACAGGAACCTGAGGAGACTTAATCAGCATAAATTGGATTGCCTCGCTGTGGTTCCCTGACCCTCGTAGGTTGATGGGAGTGGAATTGTGAGATGACCCGGCCTATATAGCGCCAGTCCAGCGTTCTAACGTCCATGGGAATGGAGAGGGGCTGAGCAAGGGGAAAAACACTGGTAGGCTTGACGAACAAAACAAACTGGCAACAGCCAAACAGAGAACACAGGTATGAATACACTGGGGATAATGGGGAAGATGGGTGACACCTGGAGGGGGGTGGAGACTGTAAAATAGAGTGCAGTGTTGTAGAGAATCCAAAGGACCATGAAAATAATAAGAAACCTTAGGTGCTGGCTTAAGGCCAGTAGCAACCACTACAGAATGTCCGGTCAGAACAAGGATGAGGCGGATGTCCAGGTCTGACTCTTGCTTCACTTGAATAATGAACTTAACTCTTTAAAATGGATGGCTGTCAAACATTTTTTTATTTATTTTCGGTAATACCATTTACCCCAACGAAGATAATCTTTTAAAAAGTATACTCGGTCATAACAGACTTTATATGGGCAAATACAATTCATAGAATAAAAAGGAAAGTTTTACACCTTCCTATGTCTGAGGGTGGTTTTAACCTTCCAGACTTGGAATTATATCAGCTCACTACCCAAGGTTTTTACTTGTGACATGCAGTACCAGTCAAAAGTTTGGACAAACCTACTAAATAAATTTGACTCTTTTCTACATTGTAGAATAATAGTGAAGACATCAAAACTATGAAATAACACATATGGATTAATGTACCCAAAAAAGTGTTAAACAAATCAAAACATATTTTATATTTGAGATTCTTCAAAGTAGCCACCCTTGGCCTTGATGACAGCTTTGCAAACTCTTGGCATTCTCTCAACCAGCTTCATGAGGCATGCTTTTCCTTAACTCTGTGGTCCAACTCATCCCAAACCATCTCATTTGGGTTAAGGTCGGGAGATTGTGGATGCCAGGTCATCTGATGCAGCACTGCATCACTCTCCTTCTTGGTCAAATAGCCCTTACACAGCCTGGAGGTGCATTTTGGGTCATTGTCCTGTTGAAAAACAAATGATAGTCCCACTAAGTGCAAACCAGATAGGATGGTGTATCACTGCAGAATGCTGTGGTTGCCATGCTGGTTAAGTGTGCCTTGAATTCCAAATAAATCACAGACAATGTCACCAGCAAAGCACCCCACACCATCACACTTCCTCCTCCACGCTTCACGGTGGGAACCACACATGCGGTGATCATCCGTTCACCTACTCTGCGTCTCACAAAGACACGGCGGTTGGAACCAAAAATCTCAAATTTGGACTCATCAGACCAAAGGACAGATTTCCACCGGTCTAATGTCCATTGCTCATGTTTCTTGGCCCAAGCAAGTCTCTTGTTATTATTGGTGTCCTTTAGTAGTGGTTTCTTTGCAGCAATTCGACCATGAAGGCCTGATTCACGCAGTGTCCTCTGAACAGTTGATGTTGAGATGTGTCGCTTAATTGAACTCTGTGAAGCATTTATTTGGCCTGCAATCTGAGGTGCAATTCACTCTAATGAACTTATCCTCTGCAGCAGAGGTAACTCTGGGTCTTCCTTTCCTGTGGCGGTCCTCATGAGAGCCAGTTTCATCATAGCGTTTGATGGTTTTTGTGACTGCATTTGAAGAAAATTTCAAACTTCTTTATATTTTCCGGACTGACTGACCGCCATGTCTTTAAGTAATGTTCGAATGTCGTTTCTCTTTGCTAATTTGATCTGTTCTTGCCATAATATGGACTTAGTCTTTTACCAAATAGGCCTATCTTCTGTATACCCCCCCCCTACATTGTCACAAGACAACTGATTGGCTCAAACGCATTAAGAAGGAAATAAATTCCACAAATGAACGTTTAAGAAGGTACACCTGTTAATTGAAATGCATTCCAGGTGACTACCTCATGAAGCTGGTTGAGAGAATGCCAAGAGTGTGCAAAGCTGTCATCAAGGCAAAGGGTGGCTACTTGCAAGAATCTCAAATATAAAATACATTTAGATTTTTTTAACACTTTTTTGGTTACTACATGATTCCATATGTGTTATTTCATTGTTTTGATGTCTTCACTATTATTCTACAATGTTGAAAATAGTAAAAAATAAAGATAAACCCTGGAATAAGTAGGTGTGTCCACACTTTTGACTGGTACTGTACAGTTAAATGCGCTTAAGAGGAACAATGGGTACATATTGAAGACGAGCATGTTCATCCCCAGAATCTATTGGAAGATTGAAAAAGAACTGATATTGGCACATGATGGAGAGAATGTAGGAACATAACTAATGAGATTACAGTTAACGAAAATGTACGCTTAATCCAGTATATATTAATGTATAGAATTTATATACAAGACACAAAATTCACAAATTCTGCCGCACAACGGTAGTCATGTCTGAAGTGTAAAACTAGTAATGACTCAATAATTCATTCCTTCATGTTATAAAATTCTAAGGTTATGGGCGGCGTTAAAAATATGGATGTCAGAGGTATTGCGATGTAAATGTACTACTAATTTGTCTGTCTGTATATTTCAAGACATGACACATGAGGGTGCAATGAGATACCCGATTGGTTGGACAATACTCTTCTCATCAATAATCTTTACAAATATATATATAGTGGGGGAAAAAAGTATTTAGTCAGCCACCAATTGTGCATGTTCTTCCACTTAAAAAGATGAGAGAGGCCTGTAATTTTCATCATAGGTACACGTCAACTATGACAGACAAATTCAGAAAAAATAATCCAGAAAATCACATTGTAGGATTTTTAATGAATTTATTTGCAAATTATGGTGGAAAATAAGTATTTGGTCACCTACAAACAAGCAAGATTTCTGGCTCTCACAGACCTGTAACTTCTTCTTTAAGAGGCTCCTCTGTCCTCCACTCGTTACCTGTATTAATGGCAACTGTTTGAACTTGTTATTAGTATAAAAGACACCTGTCCACAACCTGAAACAGTCACACTCCAAACTCCACTATGGCCAAGACCAAAGAGCTGTCAAAGGACACCAGAAACAAAATTGTAGACCTGCACCAGGCTGGGAAGACTGAATCTGCAATAGGTAAGCAGCTTGGTTTGAAGAAATCAACTGTGGGAGCAATTATTAGGAAATGGAAGACATACAAGACCACTGATAATCTCCCTCGATCTGGGGCCCCACGCAAGATCTCACCCCGTGGGGTCAAAATGATCACAAGAACGGTGAGCAAAAATCCCAGAACCACACAGGGGACCTAGTGAATGACCTGCAGAGAGCTGGGACCAAAGTAACAAAGCCTACCATCAGTAACACACTACGCCGCCAGGGACTCAAATCCTGCAGTGCCAGACGTGTCCCCCTGCTTAAGCCAGTACATGTCCAGGCCCGTCTGAAGATTGCTAGAGTGCATTTGGATGATCCAGAAGAGGATTGGGAGAATTTCATATGGTCAGATGAAACCAAAATATAACGTTTTGGTAAAAACTCAACTCGTCGTGTTTGGAGGACAAAGAATGCTGAGTTGCATCCAAAGAACACCATACCTACTGTGAAGCATGGGGGTGGAAACATCATGCTTTGGGGCTGTTTTTCTGCAAAGGGACCAGGACGACTGATCCGTGAAAAGGAAAGAATGAATGGGGCCATGTATCGTGAGATTTTGAGTGAAAACCTCCTTCCATCAGCAAGGGCATTGAAGATGAAAAGTGGCTGGGTCTTTCAGCATGACAATGATTCGTAAGAAGCATTTCAAGGTCCTGGAGTGGCCTAGCCAGTCTCCAGATCTCAACCCCATAGAAAATCTTTGGAGGGAGTTGAAAGTTCGTGTTGCCCAGCGACAGCCCCAAAACATCACTGCTCTAGAGGAGATCTGCATGGAGGAATGGGCCAAAATACCAGCAACAGTGTGTGAAAACCTTGTGAAGACTTACAGAAAACGTTTGACCTGTGTCATTGCCAACAAAGGGTATATAACAAAATATTGAGTAACTTTTGTTATTGACCAAATACTTATTTTCCACCATAATTTGCAAATAAATTCATTAAAAATCCTACAATGTGATTTTCTGGATTTTTTTTCCTCATTTTGTCTGTCATAGTTGACGTGTACCTATGATGAAAATTACAGGCCTCTCTCATCTTTTTAAGTGGGAGAACTTGCACAATTGGTGGCTGACTAAATACTTTTTTCCCCCACTGTATATACTCAAAAACCTGGAAATATGCCAATCCTCCGTCTTTCACGAAATGGAAAGGTTAAATGCTTTATTAATTTAAAAAATTGAAAGAGCGTGGGCGACAGAGAGAAACAAAATCGTGCAGTTTGAGGCCATGTGGCAGAAAGTGTTGTGGGTGCTGGAGATTGGGATGTGGGCGAGTGGGTCTGGGCGGGTGTGATATAGTTGATGTTTGTATGATGTAGTCGTTTGTATGTGTATGTTTTGTATTGTTTATAAAATATGAAATACAATCTTGTAAAAAATGAAAAATTAACCTACTAACTTTTTAGCTGTCTAGTGTTTATCACACACAGTTTTCTACACTGTCAAATGTAGAAACAGTGATACAAAGCGTGAAGAAAGAGTTCTTACCAAGCACAGTTAGAGATATCTCTGTACTGTATGCTCCACTGGGGAAAATACTGAAGATACATGTGAAGGTGCCTTCATCCAACAGTCTGACAGCTGTTATTCTAATAGATCCAAGGTTTTCTGATGTGTTCCCAATAAACTGGACTCTACCTTTCAATCCATTCAGTGCAATAAAGTTAGTAACCCCATTGGGATAAATCAGCATAAAATTATGGTTCTGTTTTTCTTCCCAAGTACTTTTCTGCCATGTTATCTGTTCGAGGTCCTCGGTTGTCTCTATCAGTCTGCAGGATAAGTCCACATCCTCCCCCTGTACCATAGTCCTGCTTCCTCCAATCACCTGTGTACCTGAAGAGAAAGCACAAGCCAAAAAAACAGTCCAAAAGATACATATAGAATAGATGCTTATAAACTCTAATAAACAGAGATGTTACCTAAACACACTGATAAGACCATTATTTGCATTTAGCTGTGCTTATGAACTATGATATCATATTACTGCTGAAATGTGGCTATTGCAACAACAACAAAAAAGTGCCAATTGCTCTATATTTGACCCTAAACCCATTTGGGCAGCCATAGTCAGAGGAGATGGCTAAAGCACATACTGATCTGGGTCCAGTCTAGTCTGAAACTACTTAGTGAATATGTTATTAGAATAATAAGCCAAAAGCCCTGAATCTATCCCTATACTTATTCAAGAGTAAGATATTCAATACATTCCCAGATACTTGGGCATGCTCAGCATGTCTCAAAACATACTGAGTTAAAAACATAGTAAACATACTGAGCTGATGTGTGTGCCTTATTGTACCCTAAAAGGACCAGGACTACAATTTAATGGTGGGATTGTGTGTTCGGTGGGTATTATTGCCTTGCCTTGTGTCAATAAGAAATAAAATAATAAGAAAAAAACATGAACTCAAAAGTATGACATCAATTGGAAACCTACTTTCTGTATCTCTCTGGATGATGAGTAGAATCACACAGCACAGCTTCCATAACATGCTTTGCTCTTCTCATTGCTAAAGTCACTAGTGAAAAGTTAATTATAGCATTATATTACATTTTCAGCTTTGCGTTTTGTAATGAGGACCTACACATTGTTTATGTACGACAGTTACATAGGCGAAGCTATATCAAATGTAAAACTATGTTGAATGCATTGGAAAATATTCGAGCAATGGTCTGCAATCATTACTCTTCAATGGAGACTATGCACATCTTGCAAAGTAGCCTACACATTATTACAAAAATAGACAAACAGTCCTACATTGGTCAGTAATAATGGAACAAAACAGATGCATCTGTAAATGTAATAGGCCACTAACCTTTGATGAATGTTAGTTCCTCTGCTGAAGTAGCCGAGACATTCTTTTTTTTTGCTGTTTGTGCTGCCAGAATAATGTCCTGCTGATCCTGTAGAAAGACGCTTATTCAGTAAATGATTCAGCATTTTTTCCAGCGAAACGTTCTTCTTCTTCTTCTTCTTCTTCTTCTTCTTCTTCGATGAGGTTTAACGGCGGTTGGCATCCAATAAATGTTGTATTACCGCCACCTACTAGACTGGAGTATAACTCCTTTATACTTTTCTTGAAAAATAAAAATAGACAAATACCTTACCATCTAAGTAACCCTACACTCACTTAAATACATTTTAAAAAACACCACCCTACTCCACTATTTCAATATATTTAGTCCTTTGTCAAGTCTCGAACACCCAAATACCTCTCTGCAGCTGCCACCACAACATCAATTTTCTGCAATTTACATTCCATCCCTGCAGTACAGATGATAACCATTGCTATGAATGCTAAAAATCCAATCTTACTGAAACATATATCACTTGTTGGCCTATCCCTCTGTACTAGAACAGCTCTAATACTCACACCACTCCTCTCAGGATCCCTCCCCCTTGACCCATCTTCCTCTACTTTCTTCACTGCCTCAGCATATGACAACTTCTGCACTACTCTAACCCTGGAAACCTCAACCTGCATCTCTCGCACCAGACATTTCTGATCCCCAGCCCCATGGGCACCCCTACAATTAAGACATACCCCGACTTTCCCCAATGCTACACATTCCTTTGTCTCATGCCCTTCTGCACACTTCTCACACCTAGGATCCTCCCTCTTACAAACTGTTGCCACATGCGCATAAGCTTGACACCTGTAACAAAGTAACGTGTTCGGCACAAAAGCTCGTACAGGATAATTTATACATCAATTTGTTGGGCAAAGACTCAACATCAAAACAAAAAAAAACAGATAACAACTCTTCTGTTTCACAACTCAAGCCACCCTATCTGCGTCGCTCCAAACGATGAGCATCACAAACACTGGGAATCTTCCCCTTCAGTTGGTCAACTTTCACATTTACCGCTACCCCAGTAATCACTCCTTCCAATGGCGTCCTTTACTTGAGAGCAAAACAATCTCTTGCCCCAATTTGTTTAACTCAGAGGGCCTGCTCCCTATGACCAGTAGAAACACAATAATTATCACAAGACCACTTCTGGTTACATTCACCAATTTCACAGCACTCAACTCTGTTTTTACCCACCCCGAAACCACAATAGGATCAGCCAAAAGGCAAGGGTCCACTTTTTCCAAAAACGTCACTCTTACTGTCATCTTTATCCTGACCCTCGGTGCAAGCCTCGGGATCTGAAAACTTCACCACACCTACGATCTCTGATACTTCACCCTCATTCTCTTCCATTTCTCCTCCTGTCTTCAATCCAGCGTACAGATCACACTCTTTACACTTTCAACCATTCTTCTTTAACAAACCATATCCCTTTTTCCCTCAGTTTTTCACAGACTCTAGCTCACCCTCTTCCTCCCTCTCTCTCTTAGACCTCCTCTGCCTCTCTTTTTCTAGGGCAAAAAACGAAATGTGCTGTGTGGTGCCTCATTTAGAGCCTCTGCCACCATCTACTGGTGATGAAACCCGTAGGCCTCAAAACAAACAAATGATGGGACAAAGTTCTTTATTTTCTTGAAGAAAAACAAAGCTAAAGACAACAGGCCAGAATCTGTATGACTTGGGACTCCTCTCTCTGATGATATTTAACCAAAGCATTAAAAAGGTCTTACTGGGAGTTGTTCAGGTATTCTAGTACCTTGGCTAGTCAAGATAACTTGGAGATTGGGCAGTAATTATCTAAGTCAGAAGGCCCTCCACCTTTATGTTGGGGGAGGACAAGTGCCGTTTTCCAAATCTTAGGGATAACACCAGTAGCAATTGTCAAGTTAAAAAATACAGGTTAAAGGTTAAACAATGAGTGGGGCAGAGAGTTGTAGTAAGAAGCGGTCAAGTGAATCAGCCCCTGTGGATTTTATTTTACATCAGTCTTTAGCAAGGCACTTAATACTTCGTAGACATTAAATGGTTGAAATGAAAATATAGTATGTGAGTCTGTTTAGTGCATCATTCTTTACAATCTGTTCTGAGGTGACTAAAGGACTACCTCTATTGGAATGAGACTATACTTTCAAACAGGTGGCCAGCTGAAGGAAAATGGTTATTAAAAGCACTACTCATTTCATTTTTTTCTACTATGGGACCAGAGGCTGTCAAAACCTGCAGGGGTAATGAGTGGGTGCAGTTATGTTTCAAAGATTTGACTACTTTCCAGAAAGGAGATGGATTACCACCACTCTCCAATACACAATTCAAGAAATATGTTGATTTTGCTTTTCTAACCAGAGATAGACATCTATTTGTCAAATGTCTGAAGGACTGCCAATCAGACATAGAGTCAGTCAGTCTAGCCTTAGCCCAATCTAGATTTATTTTTTAATTCATGTGTGAACCAAGGGATAGATTTGTCTTTTATCCTTAGTCTTTTTTAGGCCACATTATCTGCAACAGAGTTAAACATGGAAATAAAATAATGAAGGGCCTGATCCGGGTCAGTAATAGTTGACACAACCCACCAGTCACCCAACACCAGCTCAGACCAAAAATGTTGCTCATTCAGATTTCTATAATTTAGCTTTGTAATAATGTATGAGCGAGATTTAGGTAACTTAACAAGCAGGCAATGGGAAAATGGTCACTGAACTAATTAGCAATTATCCCATTGGCTGTAAACGTATGAGTGGCATTTGTTAGAATAATATCTAAGAGAGTAGATTTTTCAGGGTGTTCAAAGTTGAGGTGAGTTGGTTTACTTATCACCTGAGTTAGATTTAGCTCTATAAAAATATCTGTCAGCCTATCAGATACTGGCATCAACCAATCCAGATGAAGATCACCCACTATTAATAATTTGTATTTAGCATAGTTAGACAGCAGGTCAGACAATTTGCTAAGAGCACATAAAGAGGCCGAGGTAGGGTGATAAACTCCCACTGACTGTCACGGAATCAGCTGAGGCTGCTCCTCCTCCTTGCTCGGGCAGGTTTCGGCGTTCGTCATCCCCGGAGTACTAGCTGCCACCGATCTATGTTTCGGTGTTTGACTTGTTTTGTCCTGATTGTGTACACCTGTTCCTCATTATGTTGTATTGTTTCCCCTATTTAACCCTCTGTCGTGCATTGTGTGTTGTGTGTTATTGTATTAGTCTTCGGCAGTGTTAGTGTGCGGGTTGTTTTCCTCCTTGTATGGAGATGGTTTCCTTCTCTGGTTACTTTCAGTAAAGTACGTTTCCAGTAAGCTCTGTGTCCTGCGTTTGACTTCGCCTACCGCATTTCACCGTCGCCTTCTGACAGAATAACACACCACCCGATGGAGTCAGCAGGATCGTCCGCGCTCAGGGGAGCACTGGAGGAGCGTGTAACCCAACAAGAGGCCGGGATCCAGCACCTGGGCACCACCATTCAAGGGGTGATGGACACCTTGAGGCGATGGGAGAGTGGAGGTTTGCACACACCTCATCCTACGATACCACCACCATGTGGTCCTCTGTAGCTCAGCTGGTAGAGCACGGCGCTTGTAACGCCAAGGTAGTGGGTTCGATCCCCGGGACCACCCATACACAAAAAAAATGTATGCACGCACGACTGTAAGTCGCTTTGGATAAAAGCGTCTGCTAAATGGCATATTATTATTATTATTATTATCAGCCATACCCATCGGTCCATCTCCGGGGATCCAGTCCAGTGGGATTCGGCTCTCGCTCCCGAGGGCTTATGATTGCACCGCGGTCGGGTGTCAGGGTTTTCTACTCCAGGTTGAACTCTACCTAGCAACCATTCACCCGGCACCCTCGGGATACGAGAGCATGTCCGCCCCTTATCTCCTGTCTGTCCGGCAAGGCGCTGGAATGGGCCAACGCCGAATGGGGTGGGATAGACGCCGCTACGGTCAGCTATGCAGAGTTCACCCGCCGCTTCCGGGCAGTATTCGATCATCCCCCAGAGGGTAAAGCAGCGGGTGAGCGTCTATTCCACCTTAGACAGGGGAGGAGGAGCGCGCAGGAGTTCGCGCTGGACTTACGGACGCTAGCAGCCAACACGGAATGGAATGAGAGGGCCCTCATCGACCACTACAGATGCAGCCTGAGGGAGGACGTGCGTCGGGAATTAGCCTGCAGGGACACCAACCTCAGCTTTGACCAACTGGTGGTCATGTCGATTCGCCTGGATACCCTGTTGGCTACCCGCGGACGTTCGGATTCGGGGCCGTCCATTCCATCCCCCAGCACTTCCGAGCCGACCCCTATGGAGCTCGGGGGTGCTGGTGCTAGGGAGACCAGGAGGGAGGCCGTCCCCTGCACCAACTGTGGCCGCAGAGGACACACTGCTGGTCGGTGCTGGGGAGGGCCTCCTAGGAATCGAGGCAGTGGGCGACGCACTGATGAGTCATTCCAGGTGAGTAGGCACCCAACTCACCCAGAGCTCTCTGTTGATCATATGTGTGTTAAAGTGGTGTTTCCCGAGGTTTCTCCTCACTCCCAGCATAAGGCGCTAGTAGATTCAGGCGCAGCTGGGAATTTCATTGATCGCCAGTTCACCTATAAGTTGGGGATTCCTATCGTACCTGTTGATGTGCCCTTCCCCATTCATGCCCTAGATAGCCGCCCGTTGGGGTCTGGGTTGATTAGGGAGGTCACGGCGCCTCTCCGGATGAAAACGCAGGACTGTCATGAGGAGATAGTACGTTTGTATTTGATTGATTCTCCTGCGTTTCCCGTGGTGTTGGGGCTTCCCTGGTTAACCGCTCATGACGCCAACATTTCACGGCAGCAGAGAGCTCTCCAGGGATGGTCTGATCAGTGTACTGGGCGGTGTGTAGGTGTTTCCGTAGGGGCAACGACGATGGAAAGCCCGAACCAAGTTCCCACCTTGCATATTCCACCTGAGTATGCCGATTTGGCTCTCGCCTTCTGTAAGAAGAAGGCGACTCAATTACCACCTCATCGACAGGGGGATTGTGCGATAGACCTCCAGGTAGGCGCTGCGCTTCCACGTAGTCACGTGTATCCTCTGTCTCAGGAGGAGACGGCAGCTATGGAAACCTATGTCACCGAATCTTTGAGACAGGGTTACATACGGCCGTCTACTTCCCCTGCTTCCTCGAGTTTCTTTTTTGTGAAGAAGAAGGATGGGGGTTTACGCCCTCTCCCTCTGATTGCTAGTATGACGGAGTCTTTACACGGGGCGCGATTCTTCACAAAATTGGATCTCAGGAGCGTGTACAACCTGGTGCGCATTAGGGAGGGAGATGAGTGGAAGACAGCATTCAGTACCACCTAGGGTCACTATGAGTACCTCGTCATGCCATACGGGTTAATGAATGCTCCTTCAGTCTTCCAATCATTTGTGGACGAGATTTTCCGGGACTTGCATGGACAGGGTGTTGTGGTATATATTGATGACATTCTAATATATTCCGCTACACGAGCCGAGCATGTGTCCCTGGTGCGTCGAGTGCTTGGTAGACTGTTGGAGCATGACCTGTATGCGAAGGCGGAGAAATGTCTGTTCTTCCAAGAGTCCATCTCCTTCCTGGGACATCGGTTGTCCGCGTCAGGGGTAGAGATGGAGATTGACCGCGTTTCTGCCGTGCGTAATTGTCAGACTCCCACCACGGTAAAGGAGGTGCAGCACGTCTTGGGTTTTGCCAATTACTACCGGAGGTTTATCTGGGGCTTTGGACAGGTAGCGGCTCCCATTACCTCTCTGCTAAAGGGGGGTCCGGTGTGCCTGCAGTGGTCAGCTGAGGCGGACAGGGCGTTTAAATGTCTGAAGGACCTGTTTACCTCGGCTCCGGTGCTGGCGCATCCGGATCCCTCTTTGGCATTCCAGGTGGAGGTGGACGCTTCCGAGGCTGGGATCAGCGCTGTGCTGTCTCAGCGCTCGGGTACGCCACCTAAACTCCGCCCCTGTAATTTCTATTCTAAGAAGCTCAGTCCGGCGGAGCGCAATTATGACGTGGGGGATAGGGAGCTGCTGGCTGTGGTTCAAGCACAGCACTGAAGGTGTGGAGACATTGGCTTGAGGGGGCTAAACACCCTTTTCTCATTCTGACTGACCATCGTAACCTGGAGTACATCCGGGCAGCGAGGAGGCTGAATCCTCGCCAGGCAAGGTGGTCAATGTTTCTTTCCCGCTTTGTATTCAAGCTCACCTATATACCAGGGTCCCAGAACGCTAAGGCAGACGCCCTGTCCCTACTATATGACACAGAGGAGAGGTCCATTGAGCCCACTCCCATACTCCCGGAGTCTTGTTTAGTGGCACCGGTGGTGCGGGAGGTGGATGCGGAAATCGAGCGGGCGTTACGTTCCGACCCTACTCCTCCACAGTGTGCAGAGGGTCGGAGGTACGTGCCGCTCGAGGTTCGCGACCGGTTTATATACTGGGCTCACACATCACCCTCCTCTGGTCATCGGGTATTGGTCGGACAGTGCACTGCCTTAGTGAGAAGTACTGGTGGCCAACCTTAGCCAAGGACGTGAGGGTTTATGTTTCCTCCTGCTCGGTGTGCGCCTAGTGTAAGGCACCTAGACACCTGCCCAGGGGGAAGTTAAAACCCCTACCCGTTCCACAACGGCCGTGGTCTCACCTATCGGTGGATTTTGTCACGGACCTTCCCCCCTCCCCGGGGAACACTACGATCTTGGTCGTTGTGGATCGGTTTTCTAAAGCCTGCCATCTCATTCCCCTGCCAGGTCTCCCTACTGCCCTACAAACTGCTGAGGCCCTGTTTACACACGTCTTTCGGCACTATGGGGTGCCTGAGGATATAGTGTCTGATCGGGGTCCCCAGTGCACTTCTAGAGTCTGGAGGGCATTTATGGAACGTCTGGGGGTCTCGATTAGCCTTACCTCATGTTTTCACCCCGAATGTAATGGGCAGGTGGAGAGAGTTAACCAGGATGTGGGTAGGTTTCTGAGGTCATATTGCCAGGACCGGCAAGAGGAGTGGTCGGGATATATTCCCTGGGCAGAGATAGCCCAAAACTCCCTCCGCCATTCGTCCACTAACCTGACGCCTTTCCAGTGTATGTTAGGTTATCAGCCGGTTCTGGCACCTTGGCATCAGAGCCAGACCGAAGCCCCTGCGGTGGACGAGTGGTTTCGGCGCTTGAAGGAAACTTGGAATGCTACGCATGTCCATCTGCAGCGTGCCATCAGGCGGCAAAAGGCGAGCACCGATCGCCACCGCAGTGAGGCTCCGGTGTATGCACCAGGAGACCGGGTCTGGCTCTCGACCCGAAACCTGCCCCTTCGCCTGCCCTGCCGGAAGCTGGGTCGGCGGTTTGTGGGGCCCTTTAAAGTCCTGAGGAGATTAAACGAGGTATGTTATAGGTTACAACTGCCCAGGTATTATCGCATTAATCCCTCGTTCCATGTGTCTCTCCTAAGGCCGGTGGTGGTCCACTCCAGGAGAATGAGGTACGAGAGGCTCCTCCGCCCCCGTTGGATATCGAGGGGGCTCCGGCGTACTCAGTCCGTTCCATCTTGGATTCGAGGCGTCGGACGGGGGGCCTGCAGTATCTCGTGGAGTGGGAGGGGTACGGTCCGGAGGAACGGTGCTGGGTCCCCAGGAGGGACATTCTAGATCCCTCCATGTTGAGGGACTTCCACCGGAATCATCCGACTCGCCCTGCTCCGCGTCCTCCTGGCCGTCCCCGAGGCCGGGGTCAGCGCACGGCTGGAGCCGCGCGTCAAGGGGGGGGTACTGTCACGGAATCAGCCGAGGCTGCTCCTCCTCCTTGCTCGGGCAGGTTTCGGCGTTCGTCATCCCCGGAGTACTAGCTGCCACGATCTATGTTTCGGTGTTTGACTTGTTTTGTCCTGATTGTGTACACCTGTTCCTCATTATGTTGTATTGTTTCCCCTATTTAACCCTCTGTCGTGCATTGTGTGTTGTGTGTTATTGTATTAGTCTTCGGCAGTGTTAGTGTGCGGGATGTTTTCCTCCTTGTATGGAGATGGTTTCCTTCTCTGGCTACTTTCAGTAAAGTACGTTTCCAGTAAGCTCTGTGTCCTGCGTTTGACTTCGCCTACCGCATTTCACCGTCGCCTTCTGACACTGACATTAGTTGGGGATTATTACCAAGGGCCATATTTCAAGACTAGACATTCAAATTGCTTGGGGACAGAAGTGGTAATACACACAGCAACATTCAAGTTGTTTTTTATGAATATGGCGACACCCCCACATCTGCCAGTGTCACGCCCTGGCTCTGGGGACTCTTAAATATTGAGCCAGGGTGTTTAGTTTCTATGTTTAGTTTTCTATGTTTGAGTTTCTAGATCATGTAGATCTATGTTGGCCAGGGTGGTTCCCAATCAGAGGCAGCTGTAGTTTGTTGTCTCTGATTGGGGACCATACTTAGGCAGCCATTTGGCACCAGTCTGTGTGGGATCTTGTTCCGTAAGGTTTGTTTTGTATTAACCTAGGACTTCACGTATCGTTTGGTTTGTTGTTTTGTTCGTGTTGTGTACGAAATAAAATGTATGCTTATCACGCTGCGCCTTGGTCCTTCTCGTTAATGAACGAGCGTGACAGAAGATCCCACCTAAAGAGGACCAAGCAGCGTGTCCAGGAACAGACAGCCTGGACTTGGGAGGAGATCCTGGACGGGAAGGGATCCTGGACTTGGGAAGAGATTCAGGCCGGAATGGATCGCCGTCCTTGGGAGGAGACTTTGGAGGCGCGCTACAGAGAGGAGCAGCGGCAACGCAGAGGGTACCGGCCGATGATGAAGCCCGAGAGACAGCCCCAATAATTTTTTTGGGGGGGCTAAAGGGTGGTTGGCGGAGCCTAGAGTTAGAGCAGAGCAACTCCCCATACTCAGGCTAGGAAGCGTGAGACTGGGCAGGCTCCGTGTTATGTGGAGCCACGTACTGTGCCACGAGTGTTCCGGCACAGTCCTGCACGTCCTGTGCTAGCACCACGCACGTGTCGTGCTAAGGTGGGCATGCAGCCAGGACGGGGTGTGCCGGCTCAACGCTCGTGGCCTCCAGTACCCCTCCTCGGTCCCGTATATCCTGCGCCAGTGCCACGTGCTGTAGCGCCAGTATGAGTGCACAGCCCTGTACGTCCTGTGCTGATGCCTCATACATATTGTGTGGAAATAGGCATTCAGCCAGGACGGGTTGTGTCAGCTCTCCGCTCCAGACCTCCAGTCCGCCTCCACAGTCCGGCCCGGCCCGTTCCGGCTCCCCGCACCAAGCCAGTGGTGCGTGTTCCCAGTCCAGCCCGGCCTGTTCCTGTCCCTCGCACCAAGCCAGTGGTGCGCGGCGCCAAGCCGGTCCGGCCTGTTCCTGTCCCTCGCACCAAGCCTGTGGTGCGCGTCGCCAGCTCGGTCCGGCCTGTTCCTACTCCCCGCACCAAGCCTGTGGTGCGCGTCGCCAGCCCGGTCCGGCCTGTTCCTGCTCACCGCACCAAGCCTGTGGTGCGCGTCGCCAGCCCGGTCCGGCCTGTTCCTGCCCCCCGCACCAAGCCTGTGGTGCGCGTCGCCAGCCCGGTCCGGCCTGTTCCTGCTCCCCACACCAAGCCTGTGGTGCGCGTCGCCAGCCCGGTCCAGCCTGTTCCTGCTCCCCGCACCAAGCCAGTGGTGCGCGTCGCCAGCCCGGTCCGGCCTGTTCCTGCCCCTCGCACCAAGCCAGTGGTGCGCGTCGTCAGCCCGGTCCGGCCCGTTTCTGCTCCCCGCACCAAGCCAGTGGTGCGCGTCGTCAGTCCGGCACGGCCCGTGCCTGTTCCACCGGTGCCTGGTCCGGCACCGGTCAGCTTCTCCACTCCGGAGCAAGAGCAATCCGTTCCACCGGTGTCCAGTCCAGCTCCGGCCAGCGGGGCCAGACCAGACCAAGGGCGCAACGGGGGGGTGGAGAGAGAGTGGCGGTCACGCCCGGAGCCGGATCCGCCTCCAAGGCGGAATGCCCACCCGGCCCCTACCCTCTTGTGTTTGTGTGGTGCGGTCGCAGTCTGCGCATTTGGGGGGGGGGGTACTGTCACGCCCTGGCTCTGGGGACTCTTAAATGTTGAGCCAGGGTGTTTAGTTTCTATGTTTAGTTTTCTATGTTTGAGTTTCTAGGTCATGTAGATCTATGTTGGCCAGGGTTGTTCCCAATCAGAGGCAGCTGTAGTTCGTTCTCTCTGATTGGGGACCATACTTAGGCAGCCGTTTGGCACCAGTCTGTGTGGGATCTTGTTCCGTAAGGTTTGTTTCGTATTAACCTAGGACTTCACGTATCGTTTGGTTTGTTGTTTTGTTTGTGTTGTGTACGAAATAAAATGTACGCTTATCATGCTGCGCCTTGGTCCGTGTCTTAAGTCGACGATCGTGACAGCCAGCTCTGTCAGATCTATAAACAGTATATCCATTCAGAAACACATGAGAGTCTGGCACATACTTTTTTAACCAAGTCTCAGTAAATATCAAAATGTCTGCTTTAGTTTGAGAAACCAGAATTACAGTATGATCCATTTTCTAAATCAAATTTCTGGCATTTACATGAATCAGTCCAAGGTCACAGCTGTGGGATTTCAGATCAGATTGATACCTGACCCTGAATTGGGACTTCCGAGTGGCGCAGTGGTCTAAGGCACTACATTGCAGTGCTATCTGTGCCACTAGAGATCCTGGTTTTGAATTCATGCTCTGTCGTAGCCGGCCGCGGCGCGCAATTGGCCCAGCGTCGTCCAGGGTAGGGAATGGCAGGCAGGGATGTAGCTCAGTTGGTAGAGCATGGCGTTTGCAACGCCAGGGTTGTGGGGTCGATTCCCACGGGGGGCCAGTATGAAAAAAATACATAATGTATGCACTATTTGTCTCTCTCTGGCAGGCAAACACACATCCTTGGTTCTCTATAGAACTTTCAAGAAAAACTGACTCTGTAGCTGATTGGCAGCTTTTCAGACAATTGACAAATAGATGCACTTCCTCAATCAACAAAGCTAAATCTATATACTTTCTAAGGTCTAGCTCAGACTCTTCTGGTGATCCGTATACATTTTGGAAAACAGTTAATGCACTGAAGCATGGAAATTGCTCTCCATCATTACTGAGAATAATTAGATAAGTGATGCTTTTAATCAGCATTTTATCTCGGCAGGCTTTTTATTTGAAAGAAATGGTGGTTTAATTGACCATGGTCCGCCAGTCAACTGCCTGCTGCTCTCCCAGCTCAATGGAAGTTCCGTCAACTTCTAGTGAATCTTTGTTTTCGTTTCAACAACTTTCTACTTTCTACAATGAAGATGGCGGCGCAAAGGAGGGTGCGCGTCTTGTCGGTTCCTGCTTGACTTTGCTTTTTTATGGGGTAGATCAGCTTTAATATTGCAGATAGATTGTGGCTTCTATCAATGTAATTTTCTGCATAATTTCCAATCCCCCATATATTTTTGTAAATAAATATATATATACAGTGGGGAGAACAAGTATTTGATACACTGTCGATTTTGCAGGTTTCACTACTTACAAAGCATGTAGAGGTCTGTAATTTTTATCATAGGTACACTTCAACTGTGAGAGACGGAATCTAAAACAAAAATCCAGAAAATCACATTGTATGATTTTTAAGCAATTCATTTGCATTTTATTGCATGACATAAGTATTTGATCACCTACCAACCAGTAAGAATTCCGGCTCTCACAGACCTGTTAGTTTTTCTTTAAGAAGCCCTCCTGTTCTCCACTCATTACCTGTATTAACTGCACCTGTTTGAACTCGTTACCTGTATAAAAGACACCTGTCCACACACTCAATCAAACAGACTCCAACCTCTCCACAATGGCCAAGACCAGAGAGCTGTGTAAGGACATCAGGGATAAAATTGTAGACCTGCACAAGGCTGGGATGGGCTACAGGACAATAGGCAAGCAGCTTGGTGAGAAGGCAACAACTGTTGGCGCAATTATTAGAAAATTGAAGAAGTTCAAGATGACGGTCAATCACCCTCGGTCTGGGGCTCCATGCAAGATCTCACCTCGTGGGGCATCAATGATCATGAGGAAGGTGAGGTATCAGCCCAGAACTACACTGCAGGACCTGGTCAATGACCTGAAGAGAGCTGGGACCACAGTCTCAAAGAAAACCATTAGTGACACACTACGCCGTCATGGATTAAAATCCTGCAGCGCACGCAAGGTCCCCCTGCTCAAGCTAGCGCATGTCCCGTCTGAAGTTTGCCAATGACCATCTGGATGATCCAGAGGAGGAATGGGAGAAGGTCATGTGGTCTGATGAGACAAAAATAGAGCTTTTTGGTTTAAACTCCTCTTGCCGTGTTTGGAGGAAGAAGAAGGATGAGTACAACCGCAAGAACACCATCCCAACCGTGAAGCATGAAGGTGGAAACATCATTTTTTGGGGATGCTTTTCTGCAAAGGGGACAGGACGACTGAACCGTATTGAGGGGAGGATGGATGAGGCCATGTATCGCGAGAACTTGGCCAACAGCCTCCTTCCCTCAGTAAGAGCATTGAAGATGGGTCGTGGCTGGGTCTTCCAGCATGACAACGACCCGAAACCCACAGCCAGGGCAACTAAGGAGTGGCTCCGTAAGAAGGATCTCAAGGTCCTGGAGTGGCCTAGCCAGTCTCCAGACCTGAACCCAATAGAAAATCTTTGGAGGGAGCTGAAAGTCCGTATTGTCCAGCGAAGGATGAACCTGAAGGATCTGGAGAAGGTCTGTATGGAGGAGTGGGCCAAAATCCCTGCTGCAGTGTGTGCAAACCTGGTCAAGACCTACAGGAAACGTATGATCTCTGTAATTGCAAACAAAGGTTTCTGTACCAAATATTAAGTTCTGCTTTTCTGATGTATCAAACACTTATGTCATGCAATAAAATGCAAATTAATTACTTAAAAATCATACAATGTGATTTTCTGGATTTTTGTTTTAGATTCCGTCTCTCACAGTTGAAGTGTAACTATGATGAAAATTACAGACCTCTACATGCTTTGTAAGTAGGAAAGCCTGCAAAATCGGAAGTGTATCAAATACTTGTTCTCCCCACTGTATATATACAGTGGGGGAAAAAAGTATTTAGTCAGCCACCAATTGTGCAAGTTCTCCCACTTAAAAAGATGAGAGAGGCCTGTAATTTTCATCATAGGTACACGTCAACTATGACAGACAAATTGAGGAAAAAAAATCCAGAAAATCACATTGTAGGATTTTTTATGAATTTATTTGCAAATGATGGTGGAAAATAAGTATTTGGTCACCTACAAACAAGCAAGATTTCTGGCTCTCACAGACCTGTAACGTCTTCTTTAAGAGGCTCCACTCGTTACCTGTATTAATGACACCTGTTTGAACTTGTTATCAGTATAAAAGACACCTGTCCACAACCTCAAACAGTCACACTCCAAACTCCACTATGGCCAAGACCAAAGAGCTGTCAAAGGACACCAGAAACAAAATTGTAGACCTGTACAAGGCTGGGAAGACTAAATCTGCAATAGGTAAGCAGCTTGGTTTGAAGAAATCAACTGTGGGAGCAATTATTAGGAAATGGAAGACATACAAGACCATTGATAATCTCCCTCGATCTGGGGCTCCACGCAAGATCTCACACCGTGGGGTCAAAATGATCACAAGAACGGTGAGCAAAAATCCCAGAACCACACGGGGGGACCTAGTGAATGACCTAGAGAGCTGGGACCAAAGTAACAAAGCCTACCATCAGTAACACACTACGCCACCAGGGACTCAAATCCTGCAGTGCAAGACGTGTCCCCCTGCTTAAGCCAGTACATGTCCAGGCCCGTCTGAAGTTTGCTAGAGTGCATTTGGATGATCCAGAAGAGGATTGGGAGAATCTCATATGGTCATATGAAACAAAAATAGAAAATGTTGGTAAAAACTCAACTTGTCGTGTTTGGAGGACAAAGAATGCTGAGTTGCATCCAAAAAACACCATACCTACTGTGAAGCATGGGGGTGGAAACATCATGCTTTGGGGCTGTTTTTTTGCAAAGGGACCAGGACAACTGATCCGTGTAAAGGAAAGAATGAATGGGGCCATATATCATGAGATTTTGACTGAAAACCTCCTTCCATCAGCAAGGGCATTGAAGATGAAACGTGGCTGGGTCTTTCAGCATGACAATGATCCCAAACACACTGCCCGGGCAACGAAGGAGTGGCTTCGTAAGAAGCATTTCAAGGTCCTGGAGTGGACTAGCCAGTCTCCAGATCTCAACCCTATAGAACATCTTTGGAGGGAGTTGAAAGTCCGTGTTGCCCAGCGACAGCCCCAAAACATCACTGCTCTAGAGGAGATCTGCATGGAGGAATGGGCCAAAATACCAGCAACAGTGTGTGAAAACCTTGTGAAGACTTACAGAAAACGTTTGACCTGTGTCATTGCCAATAAAGGGTATATAACAAAGTATTGAGAAACTTTTGTTATTGACCAAATACTTATTTTCCACCATAATTTGCAAATAAATTCATTAAAAATCCTACAATGTGATTTTCTGGAGAAAAAAAATCTCATTTTGTCTGTCATAGTTGACGTGTACCTATGATGAAAATTACAGGCCTCTCTCATCTTTTTAAGTGGGAGAACTTGCACAATTGGTGGCTGACTAAATACTTTTTTTCCCCACTGTATATATATATTGTATATATTTATATTATTTTTTTGTTAGCATATTTTCCTTCTTTATTATTTTTCCCCTATCCCTACCACCCCTCCCAAATTTGAGTAAACGAATGGACAACAATACTTAAGCTTCTCCTTCCAGCTGATAAAGTGCATTCGGAAAGTATTCATACCCCTTGACTTTTTCCACCTTTTGTTACGTTACAGCCTTATTCTAAAATTGATTAAATTGGTTTTTTCCCTCATCAATATACACACAATACCCCATAATGACAAAGCAAAAACAGTTTTTTATAAATTTTAGCAAATTTACTGAAAAAAAACAGAAATATTACATTTACATAAGTATTGAGACCCTTTACTCAGTACAATGTTGAAGCATCTTTGGCAGCGATTACAGCCTCAAGTCTTCTTGGGTATGACGCTACAAGCTTGGCACACCAGTATTTGGGGTTTCTCCCATTCTTCTCTGCTTATCCTCTCAAGCTCTGTCAGGTTGGATGGGGAGCGTCGCTGCACAGCTATTTTCAGGTCTCTCCAGAGATGTTAGATCGGGTTCAAGTCCGGATTCTGGCTGGGCCACTCAAGAACATTCAGAGACTTGTCCCGAAGCCACTCCTGCATTTCTTGGCTGTGTGCTTAGGGCCATTGTCCTGTTGGAAGGCAAACATTCGCCCCAGTCTGAGGTCCTGAGCGCTCTGGAGCAGGTTTTCATCAAGGATCTCTCTGTACTTTACTCCGTTCATCTTTCCCTCGATCCTGAATAGTCTCCCATTCCCTGCCACTGAAAAACATCCCTACAGCATGATGCTGCCACCACCATGCTTCACCATAAGGCTGGTGCCAGGTTTCCTACAGACATGACGCTTGGCATTCAGGCCAAAGATTTAAATCTTGGTTTCATCAGACCAGAGAATCTTGTTCTTCATGGTCTAAGAATCCTTTAGGTGCCATTTGGCAATCTTCAAGCGGGCTGTAAAGGCCTGACTGGTGGTGTTGTGCAGAGATGGTTGTCCTTCTGGAAGGTTCTCCCATCTCCACAGAGTAACTCTGGAGCTCTGTTAGAGTGACCATCGGGTTCTTGGTCAATCAAGTTATAGAAACATCTCAAGGATGATCATTAGAAACAGGATGCACCTGAGCTCAATTTGGAGTCTCATAGCAAAAGATCTGAATACTTATGTAAATAAGGTATTTCAGTTTTTTATTTGAAATACATTTGCAAAATTTCTAAAACCTGTTTTAGCTTTGACATTATGGGAAATAGGGTGTGAATTGATGAAGAACATGTTTTATTGAATCCATTTTAGAATAAGGCTGTAATGTAACAAAATGTGGAAAAAAGGAAGGGGTCTGAATACTTTCCGAATGCACTGTACGTAGCCTATAGAGCATATCAACCAGCAGGACAGTCAGGCAGTGAATTGTGATTTAATGTGCAAACCTTGGCTATTGGGAGGCAGAGTTCTTTTTCAGCAACACATCATCACACAAAACGCTGATAGTTTTGCCCCAATGCAATGTGTAGACTGTGTCTTACTTGTTCTACGGCAATATCCATTGCAACAGACAGACAGCCTTCACATACACTGAGTGTACAAACACCTTCCTAATATTGAGTTGCACCCACTTTTGCCCTCAGAACAGCCTCAATTCGTTGGGGCATGGACTCGAAAGCGTTCCACAGGGATGCTGGCCCATGTTGACTCCATTGCTACCCACAGTTGGGTCAAGTTGGCTGGATGTCCTTTGGGTGGTGGACCATTCTTGATACACTTGGGAAACTGTTGAGTGTGAAAAACCCAGCAGCGTTGCAGTTCTTAACACACTCAAACTGGTGCGCCTGGCACCTACTAAAATACCCTGTTCAAAGGCACTTAAATATTTTGTCTTGCCCATTCACCCTCTGAATGGCACAAATACATAATCCATGTCTCAATTGTCACAAGGCTTAAAAATCCTTCTTTAACCTGTCTCTTCCCCTTCATCTACACTGATTGAAATAGATTTAACAAGTGACATCAATAAGGGATCATATAGCTTTCACCTGGATTCAACTGGTCAGTCTATGTCATGGAAAGAGCAGGTGTTCCTAATTGTTCTACACTCAGTGTAAGTCAAAACTGTAACTTGGCCACTCAGGAACATTCAATGACGTCGTGGTAAGCAACTCTATTGTATGTTTGGCCTTGAGTTTTAGGTTATTCTTGCTGAAAGGTGAATTTGTCTCCCAGTGTTTGTTGGAAAGTAGACTGAACCAGGTTTTCCTGGTGGTACTCTGTGATGTGTTGTGTTGGATGTGCCCCAAACATAACGCTGTGTATTCAGGACATAAATTTAATTTATTTGCCACATTTCTTTGCATTTTTACTTCAGTGCCTTGTTGCAAAAAGGATGCATGTTTTGGAATATTTGTATTACGTACAGGCTTCCTTCTTTTCACTCTGTCATTTAGGTTAGTATGGAGGAGTAACTACAACGTTATTGATCCTTCCTCACTTTTCTCCTATCATAGCCATGAAACTCTGCAACAGTTTTAAAGTCACCATTGGCCTCATGGTGAAATCCCTGAGCGGTTTCCTTCCTCTCCAGTAACTGAGTTAGGAAGGACGCCTGTATCTTTGTAGTGACTGAGTGTAAAGTGTAATTAATAACTACACCATGCTCAAAGGGATATTCAATGTCTGCTTTTCTCTCTTTTTTTCACCATCTACCAGTAGGTGCCTTTCTTTGCGAGGCATTGGAAAACGTCCCTGGTCTTTGTGGTTCAATCTGTGTTTGAAATTCAACGCTTGACCTTACAGATACAGTGCCTTCAGAAAGTATTCACACCCCTTGACTTTTTCCACATTTTGTTGTGTTACAAAGTGGGATTAATTGTAATTTTTGGTCAAAGATCTCCACCAAATTTTCTGTAATGTCAAAGTGATATAAAAATTCTAACATTTATTACAAGTTACTGAAAAATGAAATACTAATATATCTTGATTAGATAAGTATTCATCCCCCTGAGTCAATACATGTTAGAAACAAACATCTTTGGCAGTGATTCCAGCTGTGAGTGTTTCTGGGTAAGTCTCTAAAAGCTCTCCACACTTGGATTGGACAAAATCTGCCCATTATACTTACAAAAACTCTTCCAGCTCTGTCAAGTTAGTTGTTGATCATTGCCAGCCATTTTCAAGTCTTGCCATTGATATTCAAGACGATTTAAGTCAAAACTGTAACTAGGCCACTCAGGAACATTGAATGTCATCTTGGTAAGCAACTCCAGTGTAGTTAGTGTAATTAGTAACTTCACCATGCTCAAACGGATATTCATTGTCTGCTTTTTGTTACCCATCTAACAATTGGTGCCCAAAAAACCCTGATCTTTGTGGTTGAATCTGTGCTTTAAATTCACTGTTCAACTGAGGGACCTTACAGATAATTGTCTGTGTGGCGTACAGAGATGGGATAGTCATTCAAAAAATCATGTTAAACACTAGTGAGTCCATGCAACTTATTATGTGACTTGTTAAGCAAATTTTTACTCGTGAACTTATTTAGGCTTGCCATAAGAAAGGGGTTGAATACTTATCAACTGAAGACATTTCAGCTGTTCATTTGTTATTAATTTGTCAAAATGAAATAAACTTTATGGGGTATTTTGCATAGATCAGTGACACAAACTCTTTCTCAAAAACCTAGAGTGTCGAATACAAATTAATAGTTTGAAGTGTTTCCATTATCCATTTAGGCACATTGCGCATTAATAAATTGGTGACAGCCTGTATGCCCTCCCACCTTCCTGTTTCATATCTGATAGCCCACAAAAGCCAGCATGGATAGAACGCAATAATTTAGTAACACTGTATTTGTATCCAGCCAACCAGAAAAGGAAGGCGAAGCAATTCAGGCATTCTTGAAAGTCAAGACAATCCTTGTCCTGCAAAGAAACATACTTTCTATAGTTGAAAAATAGATTTAGCAAGTGGTAGGCATTTAAAATTAAATGTATAGTTTGTAGTTACGTGATGAGACTGATGACATCAGGTGCCCCGCATACCTTAAAAATTATTTGGCAATCATCATTTATTAGAAAAACACATTTTTCATCATCATTTGTCGCAATAAAGAAAGTTAGACAAAATAAAAATCCACCGCTGTCAAATGGATAAAAATGTTGTTGATCTTTAGAACATTTCTCCTACAGCTGCCGTTTCCATTGCACGTCACAATGTTTTTTTGTTGCAACATTGCTTTTGTCGAATAAACCTGGGTCAATGAAACCTGCCTAATGGTAAAACTCACTCACCAGTTGCCACACCTGTCACTCCCAGTGGATTTTTATTTAAAATATGAATAGGATTTCTATGTCCAATACAACACATATAAGCATTTCTAAGAGTGTCAAGATGCTGTGTATATTATTTGATTAATTAGCAAAACATTTGTCAACACACATAGAAATAATACCTAAGAAGTGTTTAAATTATTAATTACAAAAATAAACCAAAGAAATGTCCGAACTAATGTACACACAGCCACAGCCACACCTGTCTCTCCTTGTTGATAAAAAAGGCAGGTGTGCAGACTAGGTTAATCTTTAAGGATGTTTCAGCTTGATAAGTGTTAACATATTTTTGGGGATGAGGTTGGGAGGAAGTTGTTCTGGAGGGAATCAATCTACCATCAAACCCCCATGTGGTCTATAGGGGCCCCTCCCATAACATCAGTCAGGCAGACAGAGCAGAGCCACAAAGACCAGGCAACAGCTTTTCCCTGTGTGTTCCTAGTGCCAAGGCTGAAATACAAGGACTACAGTGCACTAACCAAAGCAAGGCCTTTTGTCAACATTGAACAAGGCATGACAGAACAATGCAAACTATTTCTACATTATACCACATCATTGTTGAATACTAGTTTCTGATTGTCTAGAAGGGCATTCTAGAATGGACATTAAAATCAGATAACGGGACAGTTACAAAATATATTGTGGCACCTTGCAATCATGAGGCAATATGTGCATACACGTGCAGACCGTACTTGCTATAAAGTTACAGAAAGCTAAACCAACAACTACACAAACTGAAATTGGATACATTGTAAACGCAGGTCCACCGAGGAAAACTATTAGCTAGCTAGCTAGCTAGCATTGATTTGTTTTTGCCGAGACATCTTTCTTTGGAGCATCTGAGGACCTGAGTGATGAACATGAATTCCTCCGGTCCCCTCCGCCGCTAAAGCTGTCAAATTCTCCCACGTCTCCAGTTTGTCCAGCTGTTTTCAGCAACTGATATTTTTTTATTTGGTTGTCATATTGGCAGACTTGCTAGCAACAAACTATTTAGCTCGCTTCTAGCCTAGTGTTTGGTGTGCAATGTGATCTCCTCGTAATTAGTCAGTGTTGACGAGTGTTTTGACGAGAAAGCAAATGTATCCAAATTAATTTCAATAGAAAACAGCTGCTTGGCAGTTATTCTGTCTGCAAAGGTTGTGACAGTGTTAGTCGAAGCTAGTTGGCTAGCTAGCAAGCAAGGGATAAGAACGTTGCCAGTGAGCATGGCAACGGAATATAAAGAACGAACGACTGGGTCGCGTCCATAAATATTGAACTAATCGAATGAACAACTGAGTTGAGTCTCTAGCAACCAAAACATGCGAAAGTATGAATTTGCTTATAAAAATGAAAGTATGAACGAAAACAATTATTTATACCGGTAAATGTGTGCTTTCATATTGTTTTCTTTGGCAACTGTGGTATAAGCGGGATAAACGCCTCCATTCTGTACATTACCTTGGAAAAACGAACTCCGCAAAGCTACTCGGCTCAGCCTTGTCCTGCTGCATCGCCCATTATTTCCAAGGTAATGTACCGAAGTCTGCGTTTGTCCCTTACTTAAAGGCCTGCATTTTAACTACTTACTATGTACAGTCCTTACTGATGACAAAAAATGCTATGCTGCACTAATGCTAGGCTAAACCAAAACACTGAGGGTTCATCAGGAATACGGTTAAGGAGTGGATCACAAGGCAGCTGTTAGTGGAGGTTCTGTTCCCAGTGGATCACTACTTTTGTATTTATTTTATTTCACCTTTATTTAAGCAGGTAAGCCAGTTGAGAACAAGTTCTCATTTACAACTGCGACCTGGCCAAGATAAAGCAACTACTAGCCACACTCTTGATGTTAGCCAAACCCAGATTTGTCCGTTGGACTGCCAGGTGGTAAAGCGTGATTCATCATACCAGAGAACGCGTTTCCACTGCTCCAGAGTCAAATGTCGGCAAGCTTTACACCACTCCAGCCGACACTTAGCATTGCGCATGGTGATATTAGGCTGGTGTGTGGTTACTCGCCATGGAAACCCATTTCATGGAAACAGGTCCCTAATGGACTAACTACGCATGACTGCTTGTTCACCGAAAGATGGAGGAATAGAGAGAGAGGAAAAGAGAGAGAGAGAGGGAGAGAGATGCAAATCTTATACATTTGTAAACAACGCTCACAGTAATCAGAATACTTAGCACCCTAACCACCGCCCATTGGGAGAAGTAACAATTAATGATTTTACGTGTCTGAATTGTCTTCCTTCATAGTTATTTCTCTGTTGGACCCAATCCTTCTTGGGAAGGGTTTCGTTGGGTCTTCTCTCGACTTGGAGTGTATGTTTCTGGTTGTCCACCAGAGGTCACAATGTCCTTTGTCTTAGTTGTCCGTGGCTTATATGACTGGTCATGTAGTCTGGGCCAAATCCCAACAGGGTGGTGTTTCCTTTCACTCGTTCTAGAAGAGTGGTCCTCTGAAGACAGCTAATCCGCCGTGTCGATGATCCCCAGTGGGGTGATGAGAGCAGTGTAGTAGACGATGGTTTGAAGAGAGTAACAGGATGGTCCCAATTAAATCTACCTTCTTAGATACAGTACTTAGAACAGCTACTCAGCCGTAAAATTGATCATTAGAGACATTGATTGTCAGGGTCGTAACCAATGGAGACAAAAGCTGCAGCTTGAGTCCATCTGGTCTCATAAGTTAATTCTCAACTCATCCTTTATACCCTCTGGAAAAAGGGGCCGTTCCATCATGCCGACACTCTTTCTGAGCCCCCTCGGGCGTGGCTACTGACTGGGCAAAAGTATTAGGATCACCGTGAGTGTAGTTAGAAAACTAAAATCACATTCATATCTTCACAGACATATTCTCATCATCTTAGTTGCACAATGTAAAGGATGAAGACCTGACATATACAGTGGGGGAAAAAAGTATTTAGTCAGCCACCAATTGTGCAAGAGGCCTGTAATTTTCATCATAGGTACACGTCAACTATGACAGACAAAATGAGAGAAAAGAATCCAGAAAATCACATTGTAGGATTTTTTTATGAATTTATTTGCAAATTATGGTGGAAAATAAGTATTTGGTCAATAACAAAAGTTTCTAAATACTTTGTTATGTACCCTTTGTTAGCAATGACACAGGCCAAACGTTTTCTGTAAGTCTTCACAAGGTTTTCACACACTGTTGCTGGTATTTTGGCCCATTCCTCCATGCAGATCTCCTCTAGAGCAGTGATGTTTTGGGGCTGTCGCTGGGCAACACGGACTTTCAACTCCCAAAGATTTTTCTATGGGGTTGAGATCTGGAGACTGGCTAGGCCACTCCAGGACCTTGAAATGCTTCTTACGAAGCCACTCCTTCGTTGCCCGGGCGGTGTGTTTGGGATCATTGTCATGCTGAAAGACCCAGCCACGTTTCATCTTCAATGCCCTTGCTGATGGAAGGAGTTTTTCACTCAAAATCTCACGATACATGGCCCCATTCATTCTTTCCTTTACACAGATCAGTCGTCCTGGTCCCTTTGCAGAAAAACAGCCCCAAAGCATGATGTTTCCACCCCCATGCTTCACAGTAGGTATGGTGTTCTTTGGATGCAACTCAGCATTCTTTGTCCTCCAAACACGACGAGTTGAGTTTTTACCAAAAAGTTATATTTTGGTTTCATCTGACCATATGACATTCTCCCAATCCTCTTCTGGATCATCCAAATGCACTCTAGCAAACTTCAGATGGACCTGGACATGTACTGGCTTAAGCAGGGGGACACGTCTGGCACTGCAGGATTTGAGTCCCTGGCGGCGTAGTGTGTTACTGATGGTAGGCTTTGTTACTTTGGTCACAGCTCTCTGCAGGTCATTCACTAGGTCCCCCCGTGTGGTTCTGGGATTTTTGCTCACCGTTCTTGTGATCATTTTGACCCCACAGGGTGAGATCTTGCGTGGAGCCCCAGATCGAGGGAGATTATCAGTGGTCTTGTATGTCTTCCATTTCCTAATAATTGCTCCCACAGTTGATTTCTTCAAACCAAGCTGCATACCTATTGCAGATTCAGTCTTCCCCAGCCTGGTGCAGGTCAACAATTTTGTTTCTGGTGTCCTTTGACAGCTCTTTGGTCTTGGCCATAGTGGAGTTTGGAGTGTGACTGTTTGAGGTTGTGGACAGGTGTCTTTTATACTGATAACAAGTTCAAATAGGTGCCATTAATACAGGTAACGAGTGGAGGACAGAGGAGCCTCTTAAAGAAGAAGTTACAGGTCTGTGAGAGCCAGAAATCTTGCTTGTTTGTAGGTGACCAAATACTTATTTTCCACCATAATCTGCAAATAAATTCATTAAAAATCCTACAATGTGATTTTCTGGGAAACAAATTCTCAATTTGTCTGTCATAGTTGACGTGTACCTACGATGAAAATTACAGGCCTCTCTCATCTTTTTAAGTGGGAGAACCTGCACAATTGGTGGCTGACTAAATACTTTTTTATATAATAATAAACAATATGACATGATTAGATTCCCAGTGACCATTCCAAACATTTGGATGTCAATCAATCAATTTTACTTTATATAGCCCTTCATACATCAGCTAATATCTCGAAGTGCTGTACAGAAACCCAGCCTAAAACCCCAAACAGCTAGTAATGCAGGTGTAGAAGCACGGTGGCTAGGAAAAACTCCCTAGAAAGGCCAAAACCTAGGAAGAAACCTAGAGAGGAACCAGGCTATGAGGGGTGGCCAGTCCTCTTCTGGCTGTGCCGGGTGGAGATTATAACAGAACCATGCCAAGATGTTCAAAAATGTTCATAAGTGACAAGCATGGTCAAATAATAATCAGGAATAAATCTCAGTTGGCTTTTCATAGCCGATCATTAAGAGTTGAAAACAGCAGGTCTGGGACAGGTAGGGGTTCCATAACCGCAGGCAGAACAGTTGAAACTGGAATAGCAGCAAGGCCAGGCGGACTGGGGACAGCAAGGAGTCACCACGGCCGGTAGTCCCGACATATGGTCCTAGGGCTCAGGTCTCTCAGTTGGCTTTTCATAGCCGATCATTAAGAGTTGAAAACAGCAGGTCTGGGACAGGTAGGGGTTTCGTAACCGCAGGCAGAACAGTTGAAACTGGAATAGCAGCAAGGCCAGGCGGACTGGGGACAGCAAGGTGTCAGCATGCCCGGTAGTCCTGACGTATGGTCCTAGGGCTCAGGTTCTCAGAGAGAAAGAGAGAACGAGAGAATTAGAGAGAGCATACTTAAATTCACACAGGACACTGGATAAGATAAGATGTTAGGAATATTGTTCCAGTGTTTACTTTTTGGACGTAAAAGTTTTGGGCGGTAAAAGTCTCTGAAACAAATGCTAGAAGGCCAGAGATAGATTCTCCTACTCTCTAATTTATGGCAGAGTGTTAAGGCGTCAAGACTGGCACAGATTGATAGGTTACACACAGTAGGAGAGCAGTACAATGAAAACCTTCTAAAGGTCCATACCACTCTATGCCTCAGAACTACAGTATGTTTAAGCTAAAGACAACAACAGTTGCAACAGGCCAGATCAGAGGGACTGGAGTAGCAGTGAGTAGGGCAGAAGCCGCGGAAACAGGCTCCACAGGTAGAGTAGGGGTCTACTATAGACAGACAGAGACTGGTTAGCGGGACTACTAGGCCCAAGCCAGTGAAGGCAGAAACTGTATATACATTTATCCCATGGCATTGTTGAATACTCCTTTCTGATAGGCTTGAAGGGCATTCTAGAGCGTGTATTATTTCCCTATAACTCACGGTATATTTGCACTGTAGAATTCAATGGTTTAGGTATTTGTGTTTGTATTTATTATGGATCCCCATTAGCTGTTGCCAAGGCAGTATCTACTCTTCCTGGGGACCAGCAAAATTAAGGCATTTATACAATTTTAAAAACATAACAATACATTCACAACACATTTCACAACATATTAAGTGTGTGCTCTCAGGCCCCTACTCTACTACCACATATCTACAACACAAAATCAATGTGTACGTGTGTGTATAGTGGATATGTTATTGTGTGTTTGTATGCATGTGTCTGTGCCTATGTTTGTGTTGCTTCAGAGACCCTGCTGTTCCACAAGGTGTATTTGTATCTGTTTTTTAAATCAAATTTTACTGCTTGCATGAGTTACTTGATGTGGAATGGAGTTCCATGTAGTCATGGTTCTATGTATTACTGTGCGCCTCCCATAGTCTGTTCTGGACTTGTGAACTGTGAAGAGATCTCTGGTGGCATGTCTTGTGGGGTATGCATGGGTGTCCGAGCTGTGAGCCAGTAGTTCAAACAGACAGCTCGTTGCATTCAACATGTCAATACCTCTCACAAATACAAGTAGTGATGAAGTCAATCTCTCCTCCCCTTTGAGCCCGGAGAGATTGACATGCGTATTATTAATGTTAGCTCTCTGTGTACATCCAAGGACCAGCCGTGCTGCCCTATTCTGAGCCAATTGCAATTTTCCTAAGTCCTTCTTTGTGGCACGTGACCAAATGACTGAACAGTAGTCCAGGTGTGACAAACCTAGGGCCTGGCAGGACCTGCCTTCTTGACAATACTGTAAAGAATGCAGAGCAGCGCTTTATTTGGACAAACTTCTCGGCATCCTAGCTACGGTTGTGTCAATATGTTTCGACCATGACAGTTTACAATCCAGGGTTACTCCAAGCAGTTTAGTCACCTCAACTTGCAACATTTCCACATTATTCATTACACGATTTAGTTGAGGTTTAGCATTTAGTGAATGATTTGTCCCAAATACAATGCTTTTAGTTTTTGAAATATTTAGGACTAACTTATTCCTTGCCACCCTGTCTGAAACTAACTGCAGCTCTTTGTTAAGTGTTGCAGTCATTTCAGTCGCTGTAGTAGCTGACCTGTATAGTGCTGAGACATCTGCATGCATAGACACACTGGCTTTACTCAAAGCCAGTGTCGTGTAGTTAGTAAATATTGAAAAAAGTAAGGGGCCTAGACAGCTGCCCTGGGTAATTCCTGAATCTACGTGGATTTTCTTAGAGAGGCTTCCATTAAAGAACACTCTCTGTGTTCTGTAGACAGGTTACTCTTTATTCACAATATAGCAGGGGGTGTAAAGCCATGACACATACAGTTGAAGTCGTAAGTTTACATACACCTTAGCCAAATACATTTAAACTCAGTTTTTCACAATTCCTGACATTTAATCCTAGTAAAAATTCCCTGTTTTAGGTCAGTTAATATCACCACTTTATTTTAAGAATGTGAAATGTCAGAATAATAGTAGAGATAATTATTTATTTCAGCTTTTATTTCTTTCATCACATTCCCAGTGGGTCAGAGTTCACATACACTCAATTAGTATTGATTGACTTTAAATTGTTTAACTTGGGTCAAACGTTTCGGGTAGCCTTCCACAAGCTTCCCAAAATAAGTTGGGTGAATTTTGGCCCATTCCTCCTGACAGAGCTGGTATAACTGAGTCAGGTTTGTAGGCCTCCTTGCTTAAACACGCTTTTGCAGTTCTGCCCACACATTTTCTATAGGATTGAGGTCAGGGCTATGTGATGGCCACTCCAATACCTTGACTTTGTTGTCCTTAAGCCATTTTGTCACAACTTTGGAAGTATGCTTGGGGTCATTGTCCATTTGGAAGACCCATTTGCGACCAAGCTTTAACTTCCTGACTGATGTCTTGAGATGTTGCTTCAATATATCCACATAATTTTCCTTCCTCATGATGTCATCTATTTTGTGAAGTGCACCAGTCCCTCCTGCAGCAAAGCACCGCAAGAGCATTATGCTGCCACCCCCGTGCTTCACGGTTGGGATGGTGTTCTTCGGCTTGCAAGTACCCCCATTTCCTCCAAACATAACAATGGTTATTGTTACCAAACAGTTCTATTTTTGTTTCATAAGACCAGAGGACATTTCTCCAAAAAGTATGATCTTTGTCCCCATGTGCAGTCCTAAACCGTAGTCTGGCTTTTTTATGGTGGTTTTGGAGCAGTGGCTTCTTCTTTGCTGAGCGGCCTTTCAGGTTATGTCGATATAGGACTCGTTATACTGTGGCTATAGATACTTTTGTACCTGTTTCCTCCAGCATCTTCACACGGTCCTTTGCTGTTGTTCTGGGATTGATTTGCACTTTTCGCACCAAAGTACGTTAATCTCTAGGAGACAGAATGCGTCTCCTTCCTGAGCGGTTTGACGGCTGCGTGGTCCCATGGTGTTTATACTTGCGTTCTATTGTTTGTACAGATGAATGTGGTACCTTCAGGCGTTTGGATATTGCTCCTATAAATGAACCAGATTTTTTTAGATTTTCCAATGATGTCAAGGAAAGAAGCACTGAGTTTGAAGGTAGGCCTTGAAATACATCCACAGGTACACCTCCAATTGACTCAAATGATGTCAATTAACCTATAATAAGCTTCTAAAGCCATTAAATCATTTTCTGGAATTTTCCAAGCTGTTTAAAGGCACAGTCAACTTAGTGTGTGTAAACTTCTGACCCACCGGAATTGTGATACCGTGAATTATAAGTATTCCGTGAATTATAAGTAAACAATTGTTGGAAAAATTCCTTGTGTCATGCACAAAGTAGATGTCCTAACCGACTTGCCAAAACTATAGTTTGTTAACAAGAAAGTGTATGTAAACCTAAGTGTATGTAAACTTCGGACTTCAACTGTATACAGTATATCACTCAAGGTGTGTTAAACTTCAATCCAAAAAACTTCAGAGGACTGGTAATTCCCCCTTTTGACCTATTACTCATTATGTGATTAGTATGTAAAAACAACAACACTACTACTGGATAAATAAAAATAAAACAATTTAAAATAACAAATCCATAAAGAAAAAATTGTACCCATACGGTCATAGGAAAATAGACATAACACACAGCCTACCATTATTGAAAGGCAACGCCTTCTCCTTCTCCCATCGACGGAATCACAAATAAACTTGTCAATAATTTTCAGCATTACAAATGGCCTTCAAATCAGTATTACAGATGACCTTTAAATCATCACCCAATGTCTCTCGGCTTTCCAGTGAGGGCGATCAAACCACACTAGAAAGTCAGGACAGAGGTCAGAGGTCATTCAAACCCTTCACATAAGTGTTTCTTTCTATATTAGACTAAATATTTAAAAACAGTCAAACATTTCATATATTTCGTATCCCAGTGTTACAGTAAGTTTTCTCAGTACATTTCATATCAAAATAATTCACGTTTTCAATTAAAACACAGAAATTCCATGTCTGTGCCCCTTTAAGGTGCAGTCTGTCTAACCTGTGAAAACCCACTAAACCCAAATGAAATAGACCACTCCTAATAAATCAGACATGGTATTAAAACACTGACAAATATTCATAACACGTGTGTTGTGTGTGGGTATTTGCAAACCATAGGGCAAAAACAAACAAAAATGGCCAGGCCTTATTTAATTTGTTAGCTCCCTTTACGGCTGAATCCGGATACCTTCATACTTATAAAACTGCCAAATTTAACTAACTACGCTCCCCAGACCACAGAATTTGGGAACATTCCAAAGAGAGAGATAATGACTACCCTCCTCTCCAGGAAGAGAAAGTGTACATTTCGTTAACATTCAATACGCTACATCTTAATTAGCAACCAAAAAGTTTTAATTACAAACAAAACATGATAATGATAAGTCCACTGTACTCCATCCAATCATTAATTGTTTGTTTTAATCCACCCCAACGTTTATGTACTCTTATTTAGACACGCTACCCTTAGACAAGGAAACATGTATCTCGCCAATGAGTCTAACGATTCACTCCCATATCTGACTGGTCTCTCTTATTTTAGCATGATTTTCCCGTAACTAACACACCACAATGCCCTTCATGTTCATGAACAAACATTTTAAAAGGTCATTTTAGATTTGCTAACCCCAATATGTTGCTTGACAGAATTGATTCTTAAAAACTCTACTAACACTTACTCCCAACATTAACTTCAATCTAATTTCTCGTAGGGTAAAGTTAAAACACATCAGATTATACAGCGTCCCGTTAAGCAGAACAAACACCTTCTAAAATAAACAAACCTAGAACCCCTTTCCGGAAATATTATTATTGCAACCTGTTGCATTGATTTAGTAAAAATATAAACCTTTTGATTAACAAATCTAGAACCTTCAACAAGTTGGTGCTGTCTCATCAGCGTAATAGTCAAAACTAACTGCAATCCATTTTAATTACTTGACACTGTTCCACGTAATAGAAACAGATTATCGGTTTAGAATATATTAACTGTTTGCTTAAATCACTGGTGTTACCCAAACTATAGAATTGAGTAATAATAACTAGTAATTGTCAAAGAACATCTCCGCATTCAACTTAGTCATACCTCTACACCAAACTAACCCACTATGTCCCTTACAGCCCGCTTGAGTTCAGCGAGCACCAGTCGCTTACACCCGCGGACTAAAACATGGAAACTCTTCTATTCGTTCCAGCAGAAAACAATTAAAACCATTCTCAAACAACGTTCTGCGTTTACTTCTATCGGAAAGTTTTAAAAAACCTTGACAACTTTGTCTTCTCTTTCTGCATCACAGTTATTAAATGTCCATTATTTTAAAATGAACATGTAATGCGCCGAATGTAAAAAATACATCAGTCAATCCATAAGGAAAAAGATACATTTCGATGGGAGCTAAAACACTTCACAATGACCTCTCTTACTGCCCACAACTTCAATTCATTGCTGTTGTAGCCTTGTATTATCATGCAATAATTAATACCCATGTTTAGATATCAATTATGATCATGGTCACAGCTCTATCGCAATTACCTATCCGCTATTATTAGAATGCAATAGATACGCAGTACCAGTCAAAAGTTTGGACACACCTACTCATTCAAGGGTTTTTCTTTGTTTTTACTATTTTCTAAATTGTAGAATAATATTGAAGACATCAAAACTATGAAATAACACATATGGTATCATGTAGTAACCTAAACAAATCAAATATACAGTGGGGAGAACAAGTATTTGATACACTGCCGATTTTGCAGGTTTTCCTACTTACAAAGCATGTAGTGGTCTGTAATTTTTATCATAGGTACACTTCAACTGTGAGAGACGGAATCTAAAACAAAAATCCAGAAAATCACATTGTCTGATTTTTAAGTAATTAATTTGCATTCTATTGCATGACATAAGTATTTGATTACCTACCAACCAGTAAGAATTCCGGCTCTCACAGACCTGTTAGTTTTTCTTTAAGAAGCCCTCCTGTTCTCCACTCATTACCTGTATTAACTGCACCTGTTTGAACTCGTTACCTGTATAAAAGACACCTGTCCACACACTCAATCAAACAGACTCCATCCTCTCCACAATGGCCAAGACCAGAGAGCTGTGTAAGGACATCAGGGTTAAAATTGTAGACCTGCACAAGGCTGGGATGGGCTACAGGACAATAGGCAAGCAGCTTGGTGAGAAGGCAACAACTGTTGGCGCAATTATTAGAAAATGGAAGAAGTTCAAGATGACGGTCAATCACCCTCGGTCTGGGGCTCCATGCAAGATCTCACCTCGTGGGGCATCAATGATCATGAGGAAGGTGAGGGATCAGCCCATAACTACACGGCAGGACCTGGTCAATGACCTGAAGAGGGCTGGGACCACAGTCTCAAAGAAAACCATTAGTAACACACTACGCCGTCTTGGATTAAAATCCTGCAGCGCACGAAAGGTCCCCCAGCTCAAGCCAGCGCATGTCCAGGCCCATCTGAAGTTTGCCAATGACCATCTGGATGATCCAGAGGAGGAATGGGAGAAGGTCATGTGGTCTGATGAGACAAAAATAGAGCTTTTTGGTCTAAACTCCACTCGCCGTGTTTGGAGGAAGAAGAAGGATGAGTACAACCCCAAGAACACCATCCCAACCGTGAAGCATGGAGGTGGAAACATTATTCTTTGGGCATGCTTTTCTGCAAAGGGGACAGGACGACTGCACCGTATTGAGGGGAGGATGGATTGGGCCATGTATCGCAAGATCTTGGCCAACAACCATCTTCCCTCAGTAAGAGCATTGAAGATGGGTCGTGGCTGGGTCTTCCAGCATGACAACGACCCCAAACACACAGCCAGGGCAACTAAGGAGTGGCTCCATAAGAAGCATCTCAAGGTCCTGGAGTGGCCTAGCCAGTCTCCAGACCTGAACCCAATAGAAAATCTTTGGAGGGAGCTGAAAGTCCGTATTGCCCAGCGACAGCCCCGAAACCTGAAGGATCTGGAGAAGGTCTGTATGGAGGAGTGTGCCAAAATCCCTGCTGCAGTGTGTGCAAACCTGGTCAAGACCTACAGGAAATGTATGATCTCTGTAATTGCAAACAAAGGTTTCTGTACCAAATATTAAGTTCTGCTTTTCTGATGTATCAAATACTTATGTCATGCAATAGAATGCAAATTAATTACTTAAAAATCATACAATGTGATTTTCTGGATTTTTGTTTTAGATTCCGTCTCTCACATTTGAAGTGTACCTATGATAACAATTACAGACCTCTACATGCTTTGTAAGTAGGAAAACCTTCAAAATCAGCAGTGTATCAAATACTTGTTCTCCCCACTGTTTTTTAGATTTCAGATTCGTCAAAGTAGCCACCCTTTGCCTTGATGACAGCTTTGCACACTCTTGGCATTCTCTCAACCAGCTTCACCTGGAATGCTTTTCCAACAGTCTTAAAGGAGTTCCCACATATGCTGAGCACTTGTTTGCTGCTTTTCCTTCACTCTGCTGTCCAACTAATCCCAAACCATTTAAATTGTAAAAGTCTTGGTTTTCTGCACATAAATATCAGAAGCCTCCTTCCTAAGTTTGAGTTATTCACTGCGTTAGCACACTCCGCCAACCCTGATGTTCTAGCAGTGTCTGAATCCTGGCTTAGGAAGGCCACCAAAAATTCTGAAATTTCCATCCCCAACTATAACATTTTCCGTCTAGATAGAACTGCCAAAGGGGGTGGAGTTGCAATCTACTGTAGAGATAGCCTGCAGAGTTCCATCATACTATCCAGGTCTGTGCCCAAACAGTTTGAGCTTTTACTTCTAAAAATCCACCTTTCCAGAAATAAATCTCTCACTGTTGCCGCTTGCTACAGACCCCCCTCAGCCCCCAGCTGTGCCCTGGACACCATATGTGAATTGATTGCCCCCCATCTATCCTCAGAGTTCGTACTGCTTGGTGACCTAAATTGGGATATGCTTAATACCCCAGCCATCCTACAATCCAAGCTAGATGCCCTCAACCTCACGCAAATTATCAACGAACCTACCAGGTACAACCCTAAATCCGTAAACATGGGTACCCTCATAGATATCATCCTGACTAACTTACCCTCTAAATACACCTCCGCTGTCTTCAACCAGGATCTCAGCGATCACTGCCTTATTGCCTGCGTCCGTAACGGGTCCGCGGTCAAACGACCACCCCTCATCACTGTCAAACGCTCCCAAAAACACTTCAGCGAGCAGGCCTTCCTAATTGACCTGGCCCAGGTATCCTGGATGGATATAGATCTCATTCCGTCAGTAGAGGATGCCTGGTTGTTCTTTAAAAGTAATTTCCTCTCAATCTTAAATAGACATGCCCCATTCAAAAAATACAGAACTAAGAACAGATATAGCCCCTGGTTCTCCTCAGACTTGACTGCCCTTGACCAGCACAAAAACATCCTGTGGCGTACTGCATTAGCATCAAATAGCCCCCGTGATATGCAACTTTTCAGGGAAGTTAGGAACCAATATACACAAGCAGTTAGGAAAGCAAAGGCTAACTTTTTCAAACAGAAATTTGCATCCTGTAGCACTAACTCCAAAAAGTTTTGGGACACTGTAAAGTCCATGGAAAATAAGAGCACTTCCTCCCAGCTGCCCACTGCACTGAGGCTAGGAAACACTATCACCACCGATAAATCTACAATAATCGAGAATTTCAACAAGCATTTTGCTACGGCTGGCCATGCTTTCCACCTGGCTACCACTACCCCGGCCACCAGCTCTGCACCCTCCGCTGCAACTTGCCCATGCCCCCCCCGCTTCTCCTTCACACAAATCCAGACAGCTGATGTTCTAAAAGAGCTGCAAAATCTGGACCCCTACAAATCATCTGGACTAGACAATCTGGACCCTTTCTTTCTAAAACTAGCCGCCGAAATTGTCGCAACCCCTATTACTAGCCTGTTCAACCTCTCTTTCGTAACGTCTGAGATCCCCAGAGATTGGAAAGCTGCCGCGGTCATCCCCCTCTTCAAAGGGGGTGACACTCTAGATCCAAACTGTTACAGACCCATATCCATCCTGCCCTGCCTTTCAAAAGTTTTTGAAAGCCAAGTCAACAAACAGATCACCAACCATTTCGAATCCCACCGTACCTTCTCCGCTATGCAATCCGGTTTCCGAGCTGGTCATGGGTGCACTTCAGCCACGCTCAAGGTCCTAAATGATATTATAACCGCGATCGATAATAGACAGTACTGTGCAGCCGTTTTCATTGACCTGGCCAAGGCTTTCGACTCTGTCAACCACCGCATTCTTATTGGCAGACTAAATAGCCTTGGTTTCTCAAATGACTGCCTCGCCTGGTTCACCAACTACTTCTCAGATAGAGTTCAATGTGTCAAATCGGAGGGCCTGTTGTCTGGACCCATGGCAGTCTCTATGGGGGTGCCACAGGGTTCAATTCTTGGGCCAACTCTTTTCTCTGTGTATATCAATGACGTCGCTCTTGCTGCTGGTGACTGTCAGATCCACCTCTACGCAGACGACACCATTTTGTATACATCTGGCCCTTCATTGGACACTGTGTTAACAAACCTCCAAACGAGCTTCAATTCCATACAACACTCCTTCAGTAGCCTCCAACTGCTCTTAAACACTAGTAAAACTAAATGCATGCTCTTCAACCGAACGCTGCTTGCACCCGCCCACCCGACTAGAATCACTACTCTAGACGGGTCTGACCTAGAGTACGTGGACAACTACAAATATCTAGGTGTCTGGTTAGACTGTAAACTCTCCTTCCAGACTCACATTAAGAATCTCCAATCCAAAGTTAAATCTAGAATCGGTTTCCTATTTCGCAACAAAGCCTCCTTCACTCATGCTGCCAAACATGCCCTCGTAAAACTGACTATCCTACCGATCCTTGACTTCGGCGATGTCATTTACAAAATAGCCTCCAACACTCTACTCAGCAAATTGGATGTAGTCTATCACAGTGCCATCCGTTTTGTCTCCAAAGCCCCATATAATACCCACCACTGTGACCTGTACGCTCTTGTTGGCTGGTCCTCACTACATATTCGTCGCCAAACCCACTGGCTCCAGGCCATCTATAAATCACTGCTAGGCAAATCCCCGCCTTATCTTAGCTCATTGGTCACCATAGCAACACCCACCCGTAGTCTGCGCTCCAGCGGGTATATCTCACTGGTCATCCCCAAAGCCAACACCTCCTTTGGCCGCAATTCCTTCCAGTTCTCTGCTGCCAATGACTGGAACAAATTGCAAAAATCTCTGAAGCTGGAGACACTTATCTCCCTCACTAACTTTAAGCATCAGTTGTCAGAGCACCTTACCGATCACTGCACCTGTACACAGCCCATCTGAAATTAGCCCGCCCAACTACCTCATCCCTATATTGTTATTTATTTTGCTCATCTGTACCCCAGTATCTCTATTTGCACATCATCTCTTGCACATCATTCCAGTGTTAATACTAAATTGTAATTATTTTGCACTATAGCCTATTTTATTGCCTTACCTCCATAACTTGCTAAATTTGCACACTGTATATTAATTGTATTTCTGTTGTATTTTTTTGATTTTTGTTTTGTTTTACCCCATATGTAACTCTGTGTTGTTGTTTTTATCGCACTGCTTTGCTTTATCTTGGCCAGATCGCAGTTGTAAATGAGAACTTGTTCTCAACTGGTTTACCTGGTTAAATAAAGTTGAAATAAAAAAATAAAAAAATAAAAATTGGGTTGAGGTCAGGAGATTGTGGTCGCCAGGTCATCTGATGCAGCACTCCATCACTCTCCTTCTTGGTCAAATAGCCCTTACACAGCCTGGTGGTGTTTTGGGTCATTGTCCTGTTGAAAAAGAAATGATAGTCCCACGGAGTGCAAACCAGATAGGATGGTGTATCGCTGCATAATGCTGTGGTAGCCATGCTGGTTAAGTGTGCCTTGAATTCTAAATAAATCACAGACAGTGTTACCAGCAAAGCACCCCCACACCATCACACCTCCTCCTCCATGCTTTATGGTGGGAACCACACATGCGGGGATCATCCGTTCACCTACTCTGCGTCTCACAAAGACACGGCGGTTGGAACCAAACATTTGGAGTCATCAGACCAAAGGACAGATTTCCACCGGTCTAATGTCCATTGCTCATGTTTATTGGCCAAGCAAGTCTCTTCTTATTATTGGTGTCCATTAGTAGTGGTTTCTTTGCAGCAATTTGACCATGAAGGCCTGATTCACGCAGTCTCCTCTGTACAGTTGATGTTGAGATGTGTCTGTTACTTGAACTCTGTGAAGCATTTATTTGTACTGCAATTTCTGAGGCTGGTAACTCTAATGAACTTATCCTCGGCAGCAGAGGTAACTCTGGGTCTTTCTTTCCTGTGGAGTCCTCATGAGAGCCAGTTTCATCATAGCGCTTGATGGTTTTGCGACTGCACTTGAAGAACTTTCCAAGTTCTTGACATTTTCCGGATTGACTGACCTTCATGTCTTAAAGTAATGATGGACTGTTTTTTCTCTTTGCTTTTTTGAGCTGTTCTTGCCATAATCTGGACTTGGTATTTTACCAAATAGGGCTATCTTATGTATACCACCCCTACCTTGTCACAACACAACTGATTGGCTCAAATGCATTAAGAAGGAAATCAATTCCACAAATTAACTTTGAACAAGGCACACCTGTTCATTGAAATGCATTCCAGGTGACTACCTCATGATGCTGGTTGAGAGAATGCCAAGAGTGTGCAAAGCTGTCATCAAGGCAAAGGGTGGCGAATGTGAAGAATCTCAAATATAACATATTTATTTTGTTTAACACTTTTTTTGGTTACTACATGAATCCATATGTGTTTTTTCATAGTTTTGATGTCTTCAATATTATTCTACAAAGTATAAAATAGTAAAAATAAAGAAAAATCTTTGAATGAGTACGTGTGTCCAAACTTTTGACTGGTACGGTAGGTAACAGTCCCCTCTGAGTAGACTACAGATAATAAAACAAACACTTGCTGTTGTTAACAAGCATATATTCAATTCATATCCATATTCAATTCATTGTTTTAATTTACAACCCCATTCTCAGTAGGTTCCTCCAGCAAACCATCAGGCAACAAAAAAAAAATGATTACCTCGAAATCCTCCCGCTATTCATGTTGAATAAATGAGTCATTAAATTTGAATAAGCAAGCTGCTAAATCGTTCAGTTTACATCTTAAAGCAAATACTGGCAGCTGTACCTAGCTAAGCAACTCATGGCCATAGTTGAATTACAATCAGAAACCTAGATTTTAGTCAGTAACACAGACCCTATAACTTTTGAAATGACAAGTAAATCCCACAAATAACCCAATTACAATGGTTTGTAGTCTTAACATCTGACACATAATAACAACAACATTACCAGAAAATAGCTTTAAAGGTCGTCCAAGTGTTTCTTTGCAAATATCTCACATGCTCAAAGGGAACAAATTAGCAGTCAACGAGTTAAATACACTTTCATGGATTTGGAAACAGATCTGGGGAGTTTAATAAAAACGGATTATCTTTTACCTTGCGATATAATGAAATTCCTTTACTACATCACATTAGCTCCGCAATGATAATTACTTTGATGGAAACCCTAATTTGGCTTTGTACTGTTATAAGTTACGTCAATAATTTCCAGGCCTTAAGGGCAGTTTTTTTTCTTACATGTTGAACCCAGACTGAGAAAATCCCATACGCGTTTTATAGTTACATCGGTTAGGGTAAGTAATTTCCCCATATTTTTCAAAAGTGGACATACCCCAATCAGTTTCTGAGACTCCCCAGACTTTGTAGACAGTAATATAATGCTTAAACCTTATCTTTATCAAATGATCCATAAACGGACCACTCAGAAAACGTTTATTTATTTTTTCCCATCCCTGACGTACATCTAAGTTTGGGTGCGCAAGTTGGTATATTATCATTATGTCCATTCATACTTTATCAAATCTCTAGTAATCGATTATACACCCATACAATTTGTCATATTTTCATACATTCACAGAATCTATACATAACGTTAGAAATCTTAGGTACTCACATCCACCACTCCATGTGTGTTTTCAACGACTCTCCATCGCCACAAAGCAACTCTGCAAACATACTCCCAGCGGAACCCAAAAACATCGGTTTCCCAGACGCTGCCCTGCGGGTTATGGGAATAATGCTCCACACGTATCCTCAACGGTTCTCTAGACGTCCAGAAATTATAGACTTGCCGCTACTGTCTAAAATAACATCCCACACTCAATACCACCCCATGATATTCTATGATGGGTAGTGGTGGAACTATATATCAAAACTTATTATCCAAATGTAAATCATCTTATTATGCAAATTCCAATTTCTTATTATGCACATTTCTATATGTTATTACCCAAACTTCAGATGAACACTTATTTCTACACTCATACAACTCTCATATCACATTCACAGAATACCACAAACACTCACAATAATATCTAACAATGGTAACCCATACTTGTTTACCTTATTTATCAAACATTTCATAGAAACATTACACGTTATAATTGAACTTCACCAAGCCAGATGCCCTCGCAAGGCGTCATCTGCACTCTAGTTCCTCGTTCAATGAGCTTCACCAAGCCAAGTGCCCTCGCAAGGCCACTCGCGCTCTAGTTCCTCGCTCTACACATTAACCTCACCAGTCCTAATGTGATTAACCCATTACCACGGATCTGGACTTTTGGTTGCCTGCAACTGGCTAATTAAGAATTATGTCCAGGATACCTCACTTAAGAACACTCCTATCAACTCAACACAGTCCTGCTAGTTACCTCAGCTGTGGCCCTCCTAAGGAAAACCTCGCTCTGAGCGTACCCTCAACAGCTTTTCTTATTTTTATATTGTTTTATATTTTTCTTATCTTGTCATCACTTATTGATAGATTGTCCAAGCTCACCTCTCTCAGTACTATGTTTGGGATCTTGCATCCACCCGCGCCCGCTTCCTCTCAGATCATAGGCGGGTCCAGCTGCTCTACATGAGCATGGTTTTCCCTGAGATCCCAATTTCTGATCTCCTGTGCACAGTTTACCCAGGTCTTCAGGAGCGGTCAGCAGGTCACACCACCCACACCCATGAATGGAGTGAGTGCTCTGCAATATTGAGGCTGGTCGACCCAACTCTCTTAAGTGTTGGGCCGAGAGCTCTGACATACAGAGAATACAAAATATATTTTATAGCAAAGATACTCCCTCGTAGTCTTACATGACAAACAGCAGATGTGTGGAATGGGTCAAAAGGTTAGGATTTGTTGAATAATGAATAATTCACAGCAGACAGTATCTGCAGTGAAGACTGTTCTCATTGTATGGAAACCAGGGTTTGGCCCCCAAGACAAGGTTCTTATCAACATTATCCATACCCGAGCCATCTCTCCCTGGTACCTTACATAACATAAACACCAATTCAGTCTATGAAAATGCAGGCTCAGTCAGACCGGAGACATCTCCCTTTCACATACCACTAATCATAGAATGGAATGTGGCTGTTGGTTTTATCACCTAGCCATTCATAAATCAATTGTCAGCTCCAGATACCCCTATCTCGAGTACAATTCATATCCTTGACCACACACCTAGACTAGCTGCAGGGAGCTGGAGTAGAAACCATCCCTTTACAGAAACACAGAGAAGATCTACAACAACATAATAGACATCCACTGTAAGTATATACTCTACTACCGCTGTCCTACAACATAGAGATGGACTATACTCTCAATGCCCTTCACTATAGACATCCATTGTGTAAGGGATAATCAACGAGGGGCTATGCGTTCTATTGAAAATAATGAACAACGGGGAAGGTGTGTTCCACGACATGCTAGCAGAGTGGAGCTGACCATCCACAGAGTTGCATTATTTTCCAGAGAACGCTTAGAGCCCCGAGTCCCATTTTATACCATGGCTATAATTGAACACATTTGCCACTAGAAATGTGTTCATTTGCCAGGGGATATGTCTTCAACATCCACTGAAGTAGCTAGCAAGTTTACTAGATCCCTACAGTAGTTGCCATGATAACCAAACAAACAGACTTGCTTATTTAGCTAACCAAACCATCAGACCTAGCTTGCTATTATGAAAATCAAATTCAACAATACCAATACTGTTTTCAATTCGACTTGCTTTCAAAAGCAGCTCAACCTAGGACTTCCCCGTGGATTGATGAGGAATTGAAAAATGTTATGGTTGAGAGGGATGAGGCAAAAGAAATGGCGAAGAAGTCTGGCTGTACAACCAAATTGGAAAACATACCGCAAATTGAGAAATGATTTTGACTAAACTGAATAAAAAGAAGAAGAAACTACAAAATGAAACAAAGATAAATGACAAAGAATAATGGTAAAATGCTTTGGAGCACCTTAAATGAAATTTTGGGAAAAAACGCAAACCCCGCTCCATCATTTATAAAATCAGATAGCTCATTCATCAAAAAACCCACTGATATTGCCAACTACTTTAATGATTTTTTCATTGGCTAGGTTAGCAAATTTAGGCATGATATGCCAGCAACAAACGTTGACACTACACATCCAAGTATATCTGACCAAATTATGAAAGACAAGCATTGTAATTTTGAATTCCGTAAAGTAAGTGTGGAAGGGGTGAAACAATTATTGTTATCTATCAACAATGACAAGCCGCTGGGGTCTGACAACTTGGATTGAAAATTACTGAGGATAAAAGCGGACGATATTACCACTCCTATTTGCCATATCTTCAATTTAAGCCTACTAGAAAGTGTGTGCCCTCAGGCCTGGAGGGAAGGAAAAGTTATTCCCCTACCTAGGAATAGTAAAGCCCCCCTTTACTGTCTCAAATAGCAGACCTGTTACCAACCCTTAGTAAACATTTGGAAAAATGGTGTTTGACCAGATACAATGCTATTTATAGTAAACAAATTGACAATAGACTTTCAGCACGCTTATAGGGAAGGACATTCAACAAGCACAGCACTTACACAAATTACTGATGATTGGCTGAGAGAAATTTATGATAAAAAGATTGTGGGGGAGGTGTTTTGTAGACATCTGTCACACCCTGACCTGGAGAGACTGTTATTCTCTAGGGAGTTTGGTCAGGGTGTGAAACTCTATGTATAAGATTTCTATGTTTAGGATCTAGATGTGTTGTTTCTATGTTTGGCCGGGTGTGATTCGCAATCAGAGACAGCTGTCGCTCGTTGTTAAGAACAACTTAAGTAGCCTGTTTGCCTATCTTAGTTGTGGGATCTTGTTCCGTGTTAGGCTTGTATGTGTTTAGCCTGAGGACTTCACATTACGTTGTTTTTTGTTTTGTTTATGTTTATTGAGTTAAATAAACATGTTCGCATACCATGCTGCACCTTGGTCTGACCCGTCTCTCAACGACCGTGACAGAAGATCCCACCAAATGAGGACCAAGCAGCGTGGCCAGGAGCAGACATCCTGGACATGGGAGGAGATCCTGGATGGTAAGGGATCTTGGACATGGGAGGAGATCCAGGCTGGGATGGATCACCGTCCTTGGGAACAGACAGAGGAAGCCCGGGTTAGAGAGGAGCAACGGCAACACAGAAGGCGCCGGCCGAGGAGGAAGCCTGAGAGAAAGCCCCAATATTTTTTGGGTGGTCGGGGATCGATAGAGAAGAGCCCCAACCACTGCACTCGTGGGGGCTCAAGGAGGAGTCCTCACTGGAGGAGGATTGGGCGTGGAGAGTAAAGGACTGGTACGGTCGTAGACCTCCAGCGCTGGTTCCCAGTCCGGTACGCCTCGTGCCAGCTTCTCGCACCAAGCCAGTGGTGCGTGCTCCCAGTCCGGTAAGGTCCGTGCCTGCTCCTCGCACCAAGCCAGTGGTGCGTGTCGCCAGCCCGGTACGCCCCGTACCTGCTCCCAGCACCAGGCCAGTGGTGCGTGTCCCCAGTCCGGCCCGGCCCGTTCCTGCTCCTCGCACCAGACCTGTGGTGCGTGTCTCCAGTCTAGCCCGGCCCGTTCCTGCTCCTCGCACCAGACCAGTGGTGCATGTTCCCAGTCCGGCCTGGCCCGTGCCTGCTCCTCGCACCAAGCCAGTGGTGCGTGTTCCCAGCTCTGGTCAGCAGCTCCACTCCGGAGTCAAAGCAGTCCGCTCCACCGGTGCCCAGTCCAGCTCCGGTCAGTGGCTCCACTCCAGAGCCAGAGCAGTCCGCTCCACCGGTGCCCAGTCCAGCTCCGGTCAGCGGCTCCACTCCGGAGCCAGAGCAGTCCGCTCCACCGGGGTCCAGTTCAGCTCCGGTCAGCGGCTCCACTCCAGACCCAGAAGTCAGCCCCTCTCCAGGGTCGGGGCCTCCCACACCAGGGTCCAGACAGGGCTTGGTGCATCGCGGGAGGATTGCCGATCCAGGCCCAGCCGTCAGCCCCTCTCCAGTTTCGAGGTCTCCCACCCCAGGGTCCAGACAGGGCTTGGTGCATCGTGGGAGGAAGGAGAGGGGAAGTATCACGCTGAGGACCAGACCAGACCAGGGGCGCAACGGGGAGGCAGAGAGGGAGAGGTCGTCACGCCCGGAGCCAGATCCGCCTCTAAGGCTGAATGCTCACCCAGACCCTACCCTAATGAGTCAGGTTGGTGCGGCCGGACTGTTACACCCTGACCTGGAGAGACTGTTATTCTCTAGGTAGTTTGGTCAGGGTGTGAAACTCTATGTATAAGATTTCAATGTTTAGGATCTAGATGTGTTGTTTCTATGTTTGGCCGGGTGTGATTCCCAATCAGAGACAGCTGTCGCTTGTTGTCTCTGATTGGGGATCATACTTAAGTAGCCTGTTTGCCTACCTTAGTTGTGGGATCTTGTCCCGTGTTAGGCTTGTATGTGTTTAGCCTGAGGACTTCACGTTACATTGTTTCTTGTTTTGTTTATGTTTATGTTTATGGAGTTAAATAAACATGTTTGCATACCACGCTGCACCTTGGTCTGACCCGTCTCTCAACGACCGTGACAGAATCAGTGCAGCTTTTGACATCATCGATCCTAGTCTGTTGCTGGAAAAAACGTACAGTTGAGTCAGAAGTTTACATACACTTAGGTTGGAGTCATTAAAACTTGTTTTTTCAACCATTTCTTGTTAACAAACTATAGTTTTGGCAAGTCGGTTAGGACTTTTCCAACAATTGTTTACAGACAGATTATTTCACTTTTAATTCAGTGTATCACAATTCCAGTGGGTCAGAAATGTGTATTGAGAATATTGGTAAAGGTAATAATTTGTCCTACAGTCAATGCTTGTCTGGATTTCCTGAATCAGAAATGAACTGAACTAAACTGTTGTTCTGATCTCTCTCGAGGTTATGGTGAAGGTGACTACAGATGGTATCTATATGCATGAAATGGATCATTTGGCCGAGAATGGTGTGAACCTCAAAACCCCCTCTAACCGGTTGAAGAAATGGTGTTCAATACGGCCCTGTCCTGCACCACTTCTACCTAGAGACCTGAGTCCAAGCCAGCAACCTGTACACAGCATCCAATCGAATCTATGAACTGCTTTTTCTCTCATGCCTTTTCTCTCAGGAGTGCGACAGAAGTCCACGTGGAGTGAGCATGGAGAGAGATCTGTTCCAAACTTCTCTCATGTTGCTTGTATGCTGGTATGTGGTGGGGCTCAGGTGAGACATGAGTCTTTCTGGGAAAATCAGATTATTCCTTAGACATTAAAATTGGGACATTATCATGGTCCATCCATTTTGAACTGTGAAGCTACCTGAAGAAGACAATGAAGAGACGCCAGAAGAATGAGTGCCTGAAGCGGAGGTTGGTAAACTGTGCCCGTAATTGATTTAGGCTTGTGCAAAATTGTTTATTTTGGGGTATCAGGTTGATTGTGAAGGTCTATACACTGCTAACTTTATAGTAATTTAGATTAAGAATGCATTAAGATACTGATCTGTAACTATAAATCGTGATAAGAAAGTTAATACTAAAATTATTAGATGAATATATTGTATATTAATATAAATGTACATTCTGCCAGTGTCGATATGTGCTAAGATTAGGGTTTTAACTTTGAGTGATAGGACCAATGTGAATCACTGAAGCATTGTCATTCTACATTTGGGTTGGATAATTAATTGGGTTTTGATTATGATTTGGAAACGGAATGATTTTTTGAAAACGGACAAATTGATTTTAGTAAGTTTAAAGTATGTTAAGCAGAATAGGCACCTTCTAAAGTAAACAATCCCAGAGCCCCTCTCTTGTAATATTATCATTTTGACCTGTTGCATTGACATATGTCCTGTGCTGACTGTCCCATCAACTGGTCAAAATATGAAACCTTTTGTTTAACAAATCTGCTAGGACCTTCAAAAAGTTGGTGCTGGCTTATCAGCTCAATATTCGGTACTTGGATCTACTTCAATTTTGGACACAGTTCCACGTAATGGAAACAGATTATTGTTTTAGATGACATTACCTTCTTGCTTAAATCACTGGTGCTACCCAAACTGTAGAATTGAGTAATAATAATTGGAAATTGTCAAAAACATTTCTTATTCATTTATTCATACCTCTGTCCCAAATTTTTCCACTGTGTCCCTTACAGCCAGTTTGAGTTCAGTGAGTACTGGTGGCTATCAATTTGTCCACAGAAGTGTTATCTGAAAACCACTAATATTACCATTCACTTTGTTACTTTCACTAGTCTCCATATCTGTTTCCTTCAGCTAGGACTCCCTTCTTCCCAATAGGAAGACCTTCTCAATCACTACTGCTAATACACATGGATCACTCTCAAACAATGTTCTGCTTTCACCCCTATTGTAAGGTTTAAAACAAAACAAAACAAACATGATAACTTTCTCTGTATTGGAAGGCATTGTTTTTAGTTTAGTCTACCCTATCAATGTTACTCTTAATATTTGTTACCAATTTCTGTTGGATATTCACTTTCTGCTTCACACTTATTAAATGTCTATTATTTTGAGATTCATATGTAATGCACCGAAATTATAAAATACATCAGCCAATTCAGAAGGGAAGAGATAAACCTTCTAGGATCAACATCTATTAAAACTGGGCTGGCACTGTCTATCAGTCCCCTATAGATGGTCTGCTCTGTCCATAATAAGTCTCTACCTAGCAAGTTAAACTCTAGTAACCTATTATACATTCATACATTGTTACGTTATCAAATCTAGTAATCCGTTATACTATTAATTTCTCTTAATACTTTTTACACCACTTACGTACGTCTACGTGTGGGTGTGCAAGTTGTATATATATTTTTTTCTCCATTAAATCTCTAGTAATATACTCTTCATATGTTAATTTATCTATAGTAGCCCATTATACCTCCTTTACACTAGTGTTCTATTCATACAGGGGTATTTCCCGAAGCGGATCCTTTGTCCGCACCACCCAGGGCATTGGAACTGATTCCAGAGACCGACCCAAAACAACACCACGGAAGGAAAGGCAGCCGGAGCGGTCTTCTAGTCAGACTTAGGAGGCGCGCACATCGCCCATCGCTTCCAAGTATATTACTCGCTAATGTCCAGTCCCTAGATAACAAAGTGGACGAGATCAGGGCAAGGGTTGCTTTCCAGAGAGACATCAGGGATTGTAACATACCCTGTTTCAAGGAAACATGGCACTCAAGATATACTGTCCCCGTCCATACAGCCATCTGGGTTCTCAGTACATCGCGCCGACAGGAAAAGGCATCTCTCCATGAAGAAGAAGGGTGGGGTGGGGGGGTTTGTTTCATGATTAACGACACATGGTGTAATTGTAACAACATACAGGAACTCAAATAATTTTGTTCACCTGACCTAGAATTCCTCACAATCAAATGCCGACCGTATTATCTCCCAAGAGAATTCTCTTCAGTAATTGTTACAGCCATGTTTATCCCCCCTCTAGCCGAAACCACGACGGCCATCAAAGAACTTCACTGGACTTTATGCAAACAGGAATAGTCAACATCTTTAGCTCACATAACTTCTTTACCCATATCACAAGTAGTATAACAATCAAAATAATCAATATCAATATCTAATAAAGTAATAGCCATGTTAACATATTTAGTTATTAACATATTAATACTTTGTTAAATAAAAAAAATAAAAAAAAATAGGGGGTAGATCAGATATAATATTGCAGATAGATTGTAACTTCCATCAATGTAATTGTCAGCATCACGTCCAATCCCCCATATGTTTTTTTTCTCGCAAATATATATACAGTGGGGAGAACAAGTATTTGATACACTGCCGATTTTGCAGGTTTTCCTACTTTCAAAGCATGTAGAGGTCTGTAATTTTTATCATAGGTACACTTCAACTGTGAGAGACGGAATCAAAAATCCAGAAAATCACATTGTATGATTTTTAAGTAATTAATTTGAATTTTATTGCATGACATAAGTATTTGATCACCTACCAACCAGTAAGAATTCCGGCTCTCACAGACCTGTTAGTTTTTCTTTAAGAAGCCCTCCTGTTCTCCACTAATTACCTGTATTAACTGCACCTGTTTGAACTCTGTTACCTGTATAAAAGACACCTGTCCACACACTCAATCAAACAGACTCCAACCTCTCCACAATGGCCAAGACCAGAGAGCTGTGTAAGGACATCAGGGATAAAATTGTAGACCTGCACAAGGCTGGGATGGGCTACAGGACAATAGGCAAGCAGCTTGGTGAGAAGGCAACAACTGTTGGTGCAATTATTAGAAAATGGACGTTCAAGATGACGGTCAATCACCCTCGGTCTGGGGCTCCATGCAAGATCTCACCTCGTGGGGCATCCATGATCATGAGGAAGGTGAGGGATCAGCCCAGAACTACATGGCAGGACCTGGTCAATGACCTGAAGAGAGCTGGGACCACAGTCTCAAAGAAAACCATTAGTAACACACTACGCCGTCTTGGATTAAAATCCTGCAGCGCACGCAAGGTCCCCCTGCTCAAGCCAGCGCATGTCCAGGCCCGTCTGAAGTTTGCCAAAGACCATCTGGATGATCCAGAGGAGGAATGGGAGAAGGTCATGTGGTCTGATGAGACAAAAATAGAGCTTTTTGGTCTAAACTCCACTCGCCGTGTTTGGAGGAAGAAGGATGAGTACAACCCCAAGAACACCATCCCAACCGTGAAGCATGGAGGTGGAAACATCATTCTTTGGGGATGCTTTTCTGCAAAGGGGACAGGACGACTGCACCATATTGAGGGGAGGATGGATGCGGCCATGTATCGCGAGATCTTGGCCAACAACCTACTTCCCTCAGTAAGAGCATTGAAGATGGGTCGTGGCTGGGTCTTCCAGCATGACAACGACCTGAAACACACAGCCAGGGCAACTAAGGAGTGGCTCCGTAAGAAGCATCTCAAGGTCCTGGAGTGGCCTAGCCAGTCTCCAGACCTGAACCCAATAGAACATCTTTGGAGGGAGCTGAAAGTCCGTATTGCCCAGCGACAGCCCCAAAACCTGAAGGATCTGGAGAAGGTCTGTATGGAGGAGTGGGCCAAAATCCCTGCTGCAGTGTGTGCAAACCTGGTCAAGACCTACAGGAAACGTATGATCTCTGTAATTGCAAACAAAGGTTTCTGTACCAAATATTAAGTTCTGCTTTTCTGATGTATCAAATACTTATGTCATGCAATAAAATGCAAATGCATTACTTAAAAATCATACAATATGATTTTCTGGATTTTTGTTTTAGATTCCGTCTCTCACAGTTGAAGTGTACCTATGATAAAAATTACAGACCTCTACATGCTTTGTAAGTAGGAAAACCTGCAAAATCGGCAGTGTATCAAATACTTGTTCTCCCCACTGCATATTAACATACAGTATAATTATCCATAATTCTAGCATTAGCTTCCTCATAAGTAGAATAACTACAGATCAGTATCGCAATGCGTTCTTAGTCTAAATTACTATAAATATAGCAGTGTGTAGACCTCCTTAATCAACCTGATACCCCAAATCACAACCCCTCCCTTCCCCGGCACTCAATCTTCTGGCGTCTCTTCATTCTGTTCTTCAGATAGCTTCATAGTTCAACTTGGATTGCCCATGACAATGTCCCAATTTCAATGTCTCACCTGAGCCGCCACCACCTCTAACCCCATTATGTTTTGTCCATTTGCCAACCAGTATACCAGCATCATGAGAGATGTTGTATTTGAACAGATCTCTCTTCATGCCCACTCCACATTGACTCCTGTTACACTCCTGAAAGAAAAAGCATGAGAGAAAAGGCAGTTGATAGCTTCGATTGGATGCTGGTTCTGATTCAGGTCTCTTGGTAGAAGTGGTGCTGGACAGGACCCTATTCAACGCTTTTGTTGCTCCTCTTCAGCCGGTTAGAGTTTTTTATTTATTTATTGAGGTTCACACCGTTCTTGACTGAATTATCCCTGCTATGCATCAAGATACCATCAGGACAGATCATAACAGTTTAGTTGAGTTAATTTCCAATCCAAGAAATCCATATAAGCATTGACTATATGACAAATTATTATGTTTTACCAATTATTCTTAATAGCAATTTCTAATATACTCCCCTTATCACCCTGTCGACTTCACCGCAGAGTCACAGGATCAGCAAATTAGATCTCAATTTCTGTTAGGGGAACTAGACAAAGTATATAGTTTATTGAAAAATCCTCATCACTTGCAGGTGTAATTGCTGCAAAAGGTGGCTCTACAAAGTATTGACTTTGGGGGGGGTGAATAGTTATGCATGCTCAAGTTTTCTGTTTTTTTGTCTTATTTCTTGTTTGTTTCACAATAAAAAATATTTTGCATCTTCAAAGTGGTAGGCATGTTGTGTAAATCAAATGATACAATTCCAGGTTGTAAGGCAACAAAATAGGGGGGTGAATACTTTCGCAAGCCACTGTATGTAAGAATGCTGTTCATTGACTGTAGCTCAGCATTCAACACCATAGTACCCTCCTACCTCATCATTAAGCTTAAGGCCCTGGGTCTCAACCCCGCCCTGTACATCTGGGTCCTGGACTTCCTGACGGGCCGCCCCCAGGTGGTGAAGGTAGGAAACAATATCTCCACTTCACTGATCCTCAACACTGGGGCCCCACAACGGTGTGTGCTCAGCCCCCTCTTGTAGTCCCTTTTCACCCATGACTGCGTAGCCATGCACGCCTCCAACTCAATCATCAAGTTTGCAGATGACACAATAGTATTAGGCTTGATTACCAACAACGATGAGACCGCCTACAGGGAGGAGGTAAGGGTTCTCGGAGTGTGGTGTCAGGAAAATAACCTCTCACTCAACGTCAACAAAACAAAGGAGATGATCGTGGACTTCAGGAAACAGCAGAGGGAGTACCCCCCTATCCACATCGAAGGGACAGCGGTGGAGAAGGTGGAAAGTTTTAAGTTCCTCGGCTTATATATCAATCACAAACTGGAATGGTCTACCCACACAGACAGTGTGGTGAAGAAGGCACAACAGCGTCTCTTCAACCTCAGGAGGCTGAAGAAATTTGGCCTGTCACCTAAAACCCTCACAAAGTTTTACAGATGCACAATTGAGAGCATTTTGTCGGGCTGTATCACCGCCTGGTACGGCAACTGCACCGCCCACAACCGCAGCGCTCTCCAGAGGGTGGTTCGGTCTACACAACGCATCACCGGGGGCAAACTACCTGCCCTCCAGGACACCTACAGCACCCGATGTCACAGGAAGGCCAAAAAGATAATCAAGGACAACTACCACCCGAGCCACTGCCTGTACACGCCGGTATCATCCAGAAGGCGAGATCAGTACACATGCATCAAAGCTGAGACCGAGAGACTGAAAAACAGCTTCTATCTCAAAGCCATCAGACTGTTAAACAGCCATCACTAGCACAGAGGCGCTGCTGCCTACATACAGACTTGAAAATCACTGGCCACTTTAATATATGGAACACTAGTCACTTTAATAATGTCACTTTAATAATGTTTACATATCTTGCATTAGTCGTCTCATATGTATATACTGTATTCTATACTATCATAATAATGTTTACATGTCTTGCATTACCCATCTCATATGTATATACTGTATTCTATACTTTCTATTGCATCTTAGCCTATGTCGCTCTGACAATGACATTGCTCATCCATATATGTATATATTCTTATTCCATTCCTTTACATAGATTTGTGTGTATTAGATATTTGTTGTGGAACTGTTAGATATTACTTGCTAGATTTTTCTGCACTGTCGGCACTAGAAGCACAAGCATTTCGCTACACTCGCAATAACATCTGCTAACCATGTGTATGTGACCAATACATTTGATTTGATTTGATTTTTAATTTTGACATGTATCCTCTGAGACATGTTACTCTCGAATGAGATCCTGAGACATGTTATCCTCTACCTGTAGATCCGACGGGCGTTGGTGGACAGAACCGTAGATAACGTTATAAATTGAAAAACTCAGCTCACACAGAACTGGTTGGGGTATTCATTCACCTCTTTCACACCGGAGCTAGTCCCCGACAGCTCTCATTCACTCAGTACTCAATAGTAATAATATCTCTTATTATCTAAATTTCTCTCCTCTTGTTATCCAAATTTCAATCAGTTTAATATCCAAATTTCAATCAATCAGCTTATTATCCAAATTTCAATCAGCTTAGCAAGTCCTTTCCACACTCACACAACTTTGACATCCACATTCACTTAGTACTATTCCCAAACACAATCGGTAATCTCCCTTATTACCCCATGTGCATCTTCAATGATTCTCTTGTCGTTACTTCCTATATGTATCTTCAACGGTTCTCTTGCCACTACTTCCTATAAATGTATAATAACACCACGTGCTATTAGTAGTGGCTGCAGACCACGTAGACACTTCTCTTATAAATGCCTACAGACAGCTGTCAGCGGGGCTTTCCATGGTACCAATACTCACCCTCGCTCTAGTCTTCTCACCATAAGACTAGTGAATAGCCTTCTCACCATAAGACTATGGATACCTTTTTATTGTTTCCGTTTTATTGGTTTTATTATTTATTTTTATACAGATTCATTTAAATTGACTTAATTAAATTCAGTCGGCGTGTCCCTCAATTGTTCGCGGATGATGTGTCTCCTCCTGGGCAGCTCACAGTAAGGGTCTGGGCGGGTACACGTTGTCTTTTGGTCAGACGGGAATTTCCCTCACGCTTCATAAAATACGCCACCAATTTTCCTCGCAGACCCTCACTGGAAAGCTCCGCAGGCAGAATCAATCATCCTGTTTGTTGACGCCAAATTGTCGTGGAAATTCTACACATGGACACTCAAAGTCAATCTCAAATGAATCATTGTTTATTAACAGCAAGCTGGAGAGGTCACAGTCAAACTTAGATGCATAAAGTACTGGTCTGAAGTGAGCTCTCCCGGGGAAGTCCCGTTAGTTCTCTTATATATTGCTTACACAGACAGTTATATTTGCATGATTTAGCTTATTCATTATTCATAATTAATTCATCATGAACGTTTGGTTCATGCATGTGCCCGACCAATACCTCACGAGGCTTCCTCTCGCCAAGCTGAGACCTTGAAACTGAGATATCCCTTTCGTTCTCAAAACAAGGTTCTGGGCGTACTGCCAAATTGCAGAAATTGGTTATTAGAAAAGCACAAACATAATATTTTCCATCACAGTATCAATAACTAGACACAACAAGCTGAAACGAACCACCTAAGATTCCCACATGACAGATTCTTATCAATGTTGCTAGTTATCTGGTCATCCAAAATCACAACAACACACAGATTTCTGCCGCATTGAAGCGTGTGCATTGTTTTCGTGACATTGTCAGCTAACCCGTCTATGATACCTGACTCTTTTTTGGCATGTTAAGTAACTGCTGTGTGATTACTGCTGTCCATAGACTGAGTTGAGTCTCCACTGGCATTGTTCTCTTCGGGCAGTGTGACCATCAGACTGGGCATTGCTCTCCTGTAGGGGAGAGAAGAGAGGAGAGCAGAAGAGAGGAGTGAAGAGAGAGAAAAGATAGATGAGAGGAGAGGTGAAAACAGGAGACAAAAGGAGTAGCAAAAAAGATGTGAGGCAAAAAGGAGAGTTGAAGAGAGTAGATGTGAGAGAGGAGACAGTGCCGATTAACCCATACAGTAAGAGCTAATTTATGCTTGATCCGAATATTGTGGATGGTGTGACGCAATTGTGGAGCCTCCGGAGGCACGCATAGCCCAAATTCAGCTCTGTACCGCATCACCGCGCGCCTCTCAAATTGTGTAACAATGCGGATAGCTCCGTATAGGTCAGCATTGACATGATTGGTTGATGGAAGGTGAGGGTGGGAGGTCCTGTATAAACACAAACTCACTGGGAGGTTCTGTATAAACACAAACATATAGCTACTAAGCTACTGTATATGGAAATGTTTTAAGAAGGTCATAACAAGGATAATTTAGCTATTTGATTCTGAATTATAAGTATAAAAAAAATATTAAACAATTATTTCATGACAAATTATTATCGGCATTACTGCCATTAGCCCATACAAACACATTGAATATCAGATTCACTACATAGAAGAACAGATAGTCCCCCTAAAAAAATCTAAAATAAGTTTGTTCTGAAGTGTCTGTCCTATACAGTGCATTCGGAATGTATTCAGACCCCTTGACTTTTTCCACATTTTGTTACATTCTAAAATTGATTAAATGAAATGTTTTCCTCATCAATCTACAAACAATACCCCATAATGACAATGCAATAACAGGCTTTTAGAAATGTTTGCAAATGTATTAACCTCTTAAGGATTGGACCCTTTTTTTCAATTTTCGCCTAAAATGACATACCCAAACCAGTGGCGGCTCCTGAAAAAATTCTCAGGGGGGGCAATTTTTCTGATGATTTAGGTGACCTACACACATTTTAAAAAAGATATGTCCAGCAACAACATGAAGACAGGGGCAGCATATAAGTCAATACCAGAAGCATTTATTGACTGATCTCAAAAGTGTTGGCTTACCAGGGTTGGTGGAGCCCTCAGTTTCATCTTTTTAAAATGTCTGCACACAATGTTTCGGGGCTCTCTTCAGATAATAATAATAATAATAATAATAATAATATGCCATTTAGCAGACGCTTTTATCCAAAGCGACTTACAGTCATGCGTGCATACATTTTTGTGTATGGGTGGTCCCGGGGATCGAACCCACTACCTTGGCGTTACAAGCGCAGTGCTCTACCAGCTGAGCTACAGAAAGTGGATACTCATGGATGCGCATCGCAATTGTAAAATGTCAACACAATTGGAGACACCACGTCATTTTTGGAGACATGTTATTGACAGTAAACTATTGTAGATGCGACTGCTAACTAAATAAAACATTTTAGCTGGCTAGCTAATCATCTTAGCTAAATGTGGGGCAAACAATTCAGTTATTTACCGTTAATTTGAGGGATTGGGGTGAAAGAAATCGAGTTACATAGTGATACTTTACGATATACTGTATTGACAATATCGCAATATTTTAGCGCTAGTTGGCTGTACCTGCACCAAAACACCATTATTGTTCCTTCATAGCTTGTTCTCAATCTTTTCACATTGGGAGCCAATTTGTTTTCAGCACTTTTATTTCCATGACTGATCAAAACTCGTTCTCATGGCTTTCTGATCCCTCTGCAACAGACATATGGTGCGCAATAAAATCACAGTATCGAATCGCAATACGTATAGAATCATGAGACTCGCAATGCATATATCTTATCGTGAGGTTCCTGGTAATTCCCAGCCCAAGTTCATTTGCCACAACAAATCTCTTCGCTAGCAAACGCGATGTCTTCTCCAAAACGGCAATGTGTCTCCAGCAATGTTTACTTTTTTTGACGTTCTATGGCATCTCCACTTTCCAAGCATATATGACCACATGTAATATTTTGGTAAGTGATGCAAATAGTGAACTATGTAGGGCCAGGATGTAAAATATATGTAGCTGCAGCAATTTCTCTTATCTGATATGGTAAGTAATGGGGCTTAATGTATAGCTCCCTAAGAGTTTGACGAACGGGTCCGTGCACGCGATTCCAGATATCTTTACCTCTGAATAAACTGCCTTTATTATACCATATCCACCCTGTCCAAAGTCTCTACTTGGTCTCAGTTCTCCAGTAAACTTGTGATTATCAACACTAACCTCATCGTTGTGGCGGCGGACAGCTAGCCTGTATCCCTCATCCAGTTGAGTGGCAATGTTATTCTTTCGTTCGTACCAATTTTTGGAAAATCCTCGGGTGTAGGACTTTCCGCCTTTAGTAGAAACCTGTTGAATTATTACATTTGGTCTGGGAGGTCCTAATTGTTTCGTTGCCAATTTATCTTAATTTGTTCGCCGACAAAAAGGAACTTCTTTCAAAGACACAATCGAGTTGCATTCCCGCTCTTTTCTTAGTTACGTTCATGGTTACGTTACGTATGACGAAAGCGCGTAAGTGCAAGCCCTCAGACACCCATAGAGATTGTATTGAAAGCTCTGAAATTTGAAAAAAATAGATTTTACATGGGAGTCTATGACAGACTTCTGGGCGATTTTCAACCTGACTGAAATCGCCCCAAAAGGGGGGGTGGCCATTTGAAGCACGACTTTAGCATGATTGGACATTTAGTGGCAGTGTGGCAGTGTGGCAGATTAGACGTCTAGATTACAACACTGATAACTACTGTTGCCGTGATATAATTGATTAGAAAAAAAATCCCTTCCTTTTCCCGTTTGGCAGTGCGTCGCCATACGCCCATTGAACAGGGCCGCCCCCC